AGGGTATGCTTTGTTCATGTACTTCCTCTTTCCCTACCGCACAGTCTTTTTTTTTTTTTAAGATTTTATTTATTTATTTGAGAGAGAATGAGATAGAGAGAGCATGAGAGGGGGGAGGGTCAGAGGGAGAAGCAGACTGACTCCCTGCTGAACAGGGAGCCCGATGCGGGACTCGATCCTGGGACTCCAGGATCATGACCTGAGCCGAAAGCAGCCGCTTAACCAACTGAGCCACCCAGGCGCCCTACCGCACAGTCTTATAGGCAGGGCCAAGTCAGATGCCACCCCGCATCCCCCTAAACCCTGAGAACCAGGACCGAGGTTAAAGCTGCCTGCCTTGCCTGGCACATTTCTCTGCAGGGTAATTATGATCAGTATGTGAAGACACGGCTGGAGTTGGAGGAGAACCAGATGAAGAGGTTTCACTGGGAGCAAGATCAGATTGCACACATGAAGGTAAGAGCTGAGCTCACATTCTCCAGGAGAGTTGGATGAGGGTATTTGGGGAATTTAGGGGTGCTGGAAATCAGGAAGACATCCTCAGTATTTACCCCACGTTTATTTTTATTTATTTATTTTTTAAAAGATTTTATTTATTTGACAGAGAGAGAGAGAGAGCGAGAGAGGGAACACAAGCAGGGGGAGCGGGAGAGGGAGAAGCAGGCTTCCCGCCGAGCAGGGAACCTGATGCGGGGCTCCATCCCAGGACCCCGGGACCATGACCTGAGCCGAAGGCAGCCGCTTCACGACTGAGCCACCCAGGCGCCCCAGTATTTACCCCACATTTAAAATGAGTTGTTTGGCACCTGCCCGTCCTCCAAGCCCCATTTCTGGTCTCTTTCAGAACTACATTGCCCGGTTTGGTCACGGCAGTGCCAAGCTGGCCCGGCAGGCCCAGAGCAAGGAGAAGACACTACAGAAAATGATGGCATCGGGACTGACCGAGAGGGTCGTGAGCGACAAGGTGGGGTCTGCTTCGGTACAGTTAGTGGCCTACGGTGAGGTGGATAAGATACAACCTACCTTGATAAGCGCCCTCTCCTCTTCCTAGACACTGTCATTTTATTTCCCACCGTGTGGCAAGATTCCTCCACCTGTCATTATGGTGCAAAATGTGAGCTTCAAGTATACAAAAGATGGGGTGAGTACTCCTGTGTGGTTGGGAGGCTGGGGTGCATTTCACAAGGCGAGCATCAACTGGCTGAGCGAGTCCGCTGTCCTCTGCTGAAGCCCCCTGCTAACCCACGTGGTCACGGGATATTTCAGACATGGTAGCTTAGGTGCCTCATCAGGGTCTCACGGTGACCCCTCTTCACGTGCTTGGGAGGATAACTGCTCAGCTGAGGGGGTGGGTGGAAGCAGTGGGTTGGGGTCTGCTAGGAGAGCCGCCTCCCTCCTCCACACCCCCGCCGCCGGTGGTGACTGGGGAAATGGCGGGGTTATCAACCAGCCAGATTGATTGATGGGGAACCTAGCCTCGTATTGATCTCTCTCTCACACCCACCCCAGCCTTGCATCTACAACAATCTAGAATTTGGTATTGATCTTGATACGCGAGTGGCTCTGGTGGGGCCCAATGGAGCAGGGAAGTCAACTCTTCTGAAGCTGCTAACTGGAGAGGTATGGTGCCAAGTGGGCGTGTGGGATTTCTAAGAGTAGGTACTTACTGTGTCTGAGGAAGAGGGAAGGTGTGCAGGGGCCACTATGCTTGGAGGGGCTGAGCACACCAGTGGGGAGTGAGCCGGCTTCTGGGGTGGGGGATGTTGTCACTGGCAGTGCTGAAGTTTGGAGCTGTTTTCTCAGAGGGAGGGAGGGAAGGAGGATCTGTGTGTGTGTGTGTGTGTGAGAGTGTGAGAGAGAGAAAACATGCATGTGTCTCAACATTTTTCCTTGTTTTCAGTTAGAGCGTTTAGAGGAACATGTGCATTTAGAGACAATGTTTTTGTTTGAGAAAACCTATGTTGTAGGTATGTCCAAGTCCTTTGTTTTACAGGTCGTGCATTCTATAGTAGACATTTAATTACCAAGTATCTTTGCTCCCCTTGAGAACATCTGTTTGAGTGTAGCTTCCTAAATATTTTTAGAGTGTCCAGATTAGCAGTCTGTGAGGTGGTGTAGATTCTGTTTAGGAAGTTCTGCATCTTGTTCAGTGAACATATGCTTATTTTCCTACTCTGCTTATGTCTGCTTCTGACCGAGTTTCCCATTCTATGTGCTTATCTTTCCACCTAATACTCTTTTCTTTTTAGCTACTACCCACAGATGGGATGATCCGAAAACACTCTCATGTGAAGATAGGGCGTTACCATCAGGTAAAGGCCTTGGGGTATGGAATGATGTCCAGGGTGTGGGAAGGGGGCTGTGTGTGACCAAGTCAGCTTTTGCCTGCTTCTCCTGGAATCTTGAACAGGTGCCTGGGTAGAGGTAGAGTTACTCAGCAGTTAACCCAGCAGGGTTCCTTTTGAAGTGGGACACCAGTCACATCTGAGTGAATTCTCTTTTTCCTGTAGCATTTACAAGAGCAGCTGGACTTAGACCTCTCACCTTTGGAGTACATGATGAAGTGCTACCCAGAGATCAAGGAGAAGGAAGAAATGAGGAAGATCATTGGTCGATATGGTCTCACTGGGAAACAGCAGGTCAGCGAAGGGGATGTGGGGAACAACCCCAGATAACTGGGAGATTGTGCCTGTGTGGTTAGGAAACACTGTTCTGGCCACCTGGGGTCTCTCTCTTTTTTTTTTTTTCCTCAAAGTAGGTTCCATACCCAACGTGGGGCTTGAACTCACAACCCTGAGATCAAGAGTTGTATGCTCTACTGAAAAGTGTCTTCCTTTGATTCTAGCATCCAAGAGAACCCACTAGGTTTCCTTTGCCCTAGGTTGTATGCAGTTTAGTATTCAGGTCTCCTTACGAGGGAGCAGCAGGGATAGCATGCCAGTCTCTGACATGCCCTGGTCCCAGACTAGCAAGATAAACTGTAGTGCTTGAGGGCAAAGGAAATTGGAACCTAGAAAACAAGTTCCTGGATTCAGATCTGGATTGAGGAGCCACCAGATTGTTCCAATTAGTTACGATGTAAGTGCCGAGAGAGAGCAAGAGGTATGGCCTTAGTGATGGTAGGCGCTTCAGGCTTCCACATCTCCCCCTACAGGCCTGGAGAGACTGCCAGCTGTGTCACTGTCTCCCTCTGTGATCTTGGGCCTTCCTTTTTGTAGAATGGTGATAACATTAATGGAGGAGCAGTGGGGAGGGGTGAGTCATGCTGTGTGGTGGGAGTAACACCAAGTTCTATAAATGTCACGGTTCCACTCAGGTGAGCCCAATTCGGAACCTCTCTGATGGTCAGAAGTGCCGAGTGTGTCTGGCCTGGCTGGCCTGGCAGAACCCCCACATGCTCTTCCTGGATGAGCCCACTAATCACCTGGATATTGAGACCATCGACGCCTTGGCCGATGCCATCAATGAGTTTGAGGGTGGTATGATGCTGGTCAGCCATGATTTCAGACTCATTCAGCAGGTGAGGCCCCTGGCTGGAGTGGGAGTCAGGGCAGAGGGCATCAGGAGGTTGGGTAGTACACAGTCATGGCGTGTGTGTTGGAGGGGGGCACTTCATACATGTTTATTGGATGTGGGAAAAGGTCTCAGGACGTAAACAGGGTGATGAGGACCAGATTTTATGGCTCTCTGAGAAACTTAGAAATTCTTAATAGAAATACTTCATTTTTTTCAGTGGTTATTTGGGGATGTTAGCCTAATTGACATTTGGCATTTTTTTAGCCAGAATTGGTGAGGGAGTCAGGTAGAGAACAGGGTGCTTTTACTATTGCCCCAAGATTCTTTAGCATAGAAATAGTATTATACTAAGGAGGATTTGGATTAGACAAAGGGTTATCACCAGTCATTGCTGGAAAAGCTGCTGGTCATTTCTCTGAAGCTTTGGGGAAAGATGGGGTGGAGAAAAGGAAGCTGAGAGTGAAGCCTCTAAACAGATCTAGGCCCTGTTGGGGAAGTGGAGATGAGGAGACACAGCAGATCTTGGCTTGAAGGGCTCCAGACCTGCTGGCTACAGTACCCTTGGGTTAGGCATCCCAAAGAACCTAGAGATGGTGAAACTGTGAGCTGGATATGGGGCTGGGTGCTGGGGGTTTCTTCCTGGATTCGCCTGACAGTGGTCTTCTGGGCAGGGACGGGGAGAGTGCTGGCCAGGATTATTAAGCCTGAGATTTGCTTTCTAGGTTGCACAGGAAATCTGGGTCTGTGAGAAGCAGACAATCACCAAGTGGCCAGGAGACATCCTGGCCTACAAGGAGCACCTCAAGTCCAAGCTGGTGGGCGAAGAGCCCCAGCTCACCAGGAGGACCCATAATGTGTGAGCCCCTGCCCGGACGGGGCCGGGCCTCTGGGGCCACACTCCTGCATTGCTGCAATACCGCTCCCCAGCCCCTCCCCTGCCCCCACCTGCCTTAGCTGCACTCTGTGATCTTATCTACAGCTGGACAGTACCTGTCCGTTTCCTGTCCTTCCAGTTACTTTTGTCCATGTCTGGACGCGGCTGGCTCTCCTGCCAGCTCCTTGCTGGTTACTGACCTGATAGTGATGCAGCCAGAGGCACCTGAGGGTTAGCCCAAGGGCCCACATTGCTGGGTTGGCCTGTGAAAGAGCTTAGGGTCCTCGTTTTCTGGGTTTTGGTGATGTTGGAGGAATACCCCCCAGCCCACCGCCCCCATTCCTTTCTGCTTCTGGTTTGGAGCTCTGGGCCAGGGCTTTAGTCCTGGTCGGTTTTTAAATAATTATTTAACAGTGTAACTTTTAGACCTGCGTGACATCTACAAAGTGTCCAATAAAGAAAGAAGCAGCCATGGTCCCTACCTTCCTTTTCTGGTCTCTGGGCCCTTCACTTCCCTCCTCCCTGCAGGGCCAACACACTTAAGAGCTTGGGTGGGAATTGGTGGGATGGATGCAGACTAAAGACTAGTCTTTAGGAGCTGGAATAACTCTCCTTCCTTTGATTTGAAATTGTGCCTTGTGTTAGGCTGTTGTCTCACAACACACATCAGAATCACCTGGAAGACTCATTAGATCACCAGTCACTGGGTCTTGCCTCAGGGTTTCTGGTTCAGTAGGTCGGGGGTGAGACCAGGAATTATAAAGCATTTCTTACAAGTTTCCAGGTGCTGCTGATGCTGCTTGTCTGGGGCTCGAACTTTGAGAACCACTCTCCTGAGACATGTTTTTCAGAGTGGTCTGAGGCTCCCTTGCTGCGACCTGCACCACAACACTTGGAGCAGGTGGTGCTTGTTAAAATGCAGATCCCCAGGCCCCAACCTATTGATTCCATTTGGTGGGATGGGAGAGATGCAGAAATGGTCTGGAGTCTGCATTTTTCACACTGAAGTTTGTGAACCACCACTCCTGGGTGGGATACAGGAATTCTTGGTATTTTATCTGTCCATGGCCTTAATTTTTGTTAGCGTGGTCTCATTTACTTCCCGGCCAGGGCCCTGCATGACCTATCTGAACTTGAATAGCACTTGCAACCTTTGTCCATCAGGCACACCGGTGGCCATCTGTACTGATGCGGATTCATCATACCACCTCAGCAGCCGTCCCTGTGGGGAAACCTACACAGCCATGAGTTTTCAGTGCTGATTACAGTCCATCTAATCAGTCCCAGATGGTGTCTCAACTCCTAAGGAACTCACGATCTAATGGGGAAACCAACACTGACTAGAGAACACGATGGCATAAATCAGATGCTCAGTTGTGACTTGTTAGGAGACACAGAAGGATTCGAAAGGGGGGAAGGTTTCTTGTGAGTAGCTAGCTAGAAAGACAGGATTGGTGCTCTAACTTGAAAGGTGAATAGGACCTCAGATGGCCCTGAAGTCCAAGAGCGGCCCTGGGCAGGCGGAATGATGAGAGTGAACGTGAGGTGAGAAGCTGCAGCCGAGCCCTCGGCGGCGAGGCTGGAGTGAGGCTCAGACTCCAACCCTGAGGGGCCTGGCTTCGTCGCTTTGTGCCTTTGTGCCTAAGTCAGTCTGCTCTGAGTATCCAGAGACAGGTAGGGGGGAGAATGGCCTCAAGAATGAGCTGCTGGGATGATGGGAACAGAGATGAGAACTTCTGCTACTTCAGCCAAGGGAGATCCTGGGTATGTTCGTACCAATTCCCTTTGAAGTCCCTCAGGGTCTTCAGTGTAGAATACTTGAGGTGCTAAGTAAGGTTTCAGAACTGGAAGAATCGAAGCAGGCTATTCAGCTTGCCTGTCCCCCCACCCCTCGAAAAGCCAATTTCAGAAACTTCAAGAATGCTTAAAAAGCCCACTATATATATATATATTTCTACAAAGGCCTAAAATTAGCAGTGCTTTATTTTGGATTAAGAATTCCCTCCTGATCCTCTTAAACCTTAGCACGGAAGATGTAGCCGGATGTTGGGAAGCGGGTGAGGAGGTGAGATTAGTGAGGTGTTGGCTGCTCAGGCTTGCTTTCACCCACCCACAGGTGATGCTTGTCTTCACTACTCTCCCCCACCTCCTCCTGATTGGGAAAACCCTCTTTCCCCCAGCCCGTAGCTCTCCTGTTGCTCCAGGTTTCTTTAATCACAGCACTTAAGAACCTGAAATATCATTCACACGTAGGTGCAAAGTGAGAACTACTCCGTTGAACAGCTGTCTCTTCCCTTTGCAGCTTCCACGGGGAGCCCACATCACCCGCTTTTATGGAGAGCATCCAGTGTTTCTCTGCTCTGGCTCCTCCAGTCCGCCCAAACGCCCTCCCTGGCAGGCCCTCCCAGCCTGTGGTTTCCTGCTGCCTGCATCTGGTCTAGGCTCAGGTTCTGCTCCACTTCGGCTTTCCGTCCAAGCCTCGCTGTACTCGGCATGCATCGATTCCACTCTGCTTTCTCCACGGATTGTCCTTCTGTCATTCTCCCCAGTTAAACTAACCCCCCAACAAGACCAGCGTCAAATTCCCATTCCTTCCATGAAGCTATCTCTGGCTACTGTAGCCCTCACTAGTTTTTCTTTTTTTTTAAGATTTTATTTTACTTATTTGAGTGAGAGAACAACGATGGGGAGGGGCAGAGGGAGAGAGAGAGAGAGAAGCAGACTCCCTGCTGAGCAGGGAACCCAACGCGGAGCTCGATCCCAGGACCCTGAGATCATGACCGGAGCTGAAGGCCGACGCTTAACTGATTGAGCCACCCAGGCGTCCCAGCCCTCACTAGTTTTTCTTTTCTGAACTCTCTGTCCCTATACCCCCTCTTCAGTCCTTCTACTCTTTGCTGTGAGCCAGTCTGGCTTCTTCCACTGTATTGTAGGGCGCTGTGGGTGGGGGGTGGGGTGCCTTGTGTTCCTCCTGATACTCCCCTGCATTTCAAGTCATGCTGAGCACAATGGGTGTCGAGTGATCTCATGGCCTGGTTTGGTGGTGTGTGAGCTCTCACAAGTGTGTAGTACGCTGGGAGATGGTGGGGGAGGGCTTCTCATTCAGAGACAGGAAATCACTTGGGGGAGAGGTGGGAGCCATTTGCCTCTTTCAAGATTAACGGAGAGCATGTTCTGGATAGGGATGGGCCAAGCTCCTCCCCCCTCCCGCCCTCTCCATCCCAGGTGCTGGCCCCCAGGCCCACCTGGTGGGCAGCTGACTCCATAAAATACCCCAAGGAGCAGGAGGTGGCCGTCAGGAGGAGCAGGAGAATGAGCGCTGAGCATGGACAACAGCAGCAGTCTCGGGGCCGAAGGGGCCGTAGTTCTGGTGATAAGAAGTCCAGAAGGCGTAGCCGGCGCAAGGAAACCTACTCAATGTATATCTACAAGGTGCTAAAGCAGGTGAGAGTGGGGAGCTAACGTGTGTGCACGCGCGCGTGTGTGGGTGTGTGTGGAGTGTACTGGCCAAAGAGCCTTGAGAGAGCACTGGACAGAGAGTCCCGCTCTGTTTACTCCCGGCACTGCGGTGAGTGGCCTCAGGCACGCCGTGCCCCTCTCCACTCGAGCTCAGAGGCCCCTACAACCTCTCGGTATCTGTTGTGCACCTATGATAGGCAGGAGACCTTTAAAGCACGCCACCACCGTCCAGAAGCTTCCAGGGCTTTGGACAGACAAGATGATTATGTGGAACATTAGGTGGGACATAATTAAAAGACAGGGAAGACTGTAAGAAAGTGTGGGGCTGAAGGGTGATCGAATGCCAAACACGTTACGGTACAAGCAAGAGCTCCTGTTAGTGCTGGCCGGAGCACGGGGTGATGTGTGTGAGCTTAAGTCTTGGGGAAGGCCTTCCAGCCACACAGCACCCAGTCCCTGTCTACTGCACAGAGGAGGAACCTAAGGTCCATAAAGGCTCAGTGCATTGACTGAGTCACATGACCTGACAGCCGCAGAGGTACCCCCCCCCCCCCGCTCTGAGCAGGCCCCTCACCTACTTCCTGTTTGTCCCACCTCTTAACCCACAGGGGCTGTGCATGCTCTCTGTGCATGCCGCCTAGCAGAGCACCTACGAGAAGCACCTACTCCTGGCACTTGCACACTGACAAATATTTGGGGACATCAGTGGGCACCTGACAACAGTGTGTCAAGGATACAAGGCACCCTGGCCTCCAAGCCTCTGCCCCCTCAGCAGAACCAGGGCCAGGAGCCGGCAGAACAGCTATCTTTGCCTTCCCTGAGTCTCTACAACCTGCCTGGGTCTTATTACCCCTTTGTGAGAGTAGATGTAGACATGAAGCCTCTCTCCAGTCTGAGTCCCATTAGCAGTTTCAGGGACCTGACAAGCTGGGTCTCTGGGAATGCTTTTGTGGGATCAGGTTGGGGGCGGAACCAGCACGGTCGTAGACAGGCCGAAGGGCGCAGCAGAGGGCTGACTCCAGTGGCCTGAAGAGCATGGGGGTGGGAGGGAACACTGCTGAGCCCTGCAGCTCCGCCTAACCTTGGACTCAAAAACCGTGCGGCAAGGGTTGGCCCCGGGTTGGACTGGCGAAGGAGAGCTGCTTGCGGGGGAGGGGTCACCCACAGACGGTGAAGCTCACTGTGACCCCCTCAACCCCAAAGAGAAAAAGATGTGATGACAGCCTGAGGGGTTCAGGCTCGGATCCCCTGCTGCCGGTGGTATCCAGAGGCTGTGGGGAGAGCCCGAGTTCCCTTTCTGTCTCCACCACTGGCCTGATGTGTGTCATTGGCAGTTGCCCCTCCCACTTCACGGGGAAAATACTTCCTGTCTGCCCACTCCCACACTCGGATTGTTACCAGGCGCCCACCGCTTGCTTGTGTTACTGGAGGTCACCTAGGTCAAAAGCTTGGGTGACGGAGGAGGAAACTGAGGCCCAGAGGAAAGTGCCTCATTGGAGGTCAGACAGTGACTCACAGGCGTTCTGACCCCTAGTCTGGTGCTGAGATCGTGTCACATGAGTGTGCTCTCCGGACAATAATTTGGTAACAATCTGCCAAGTTAAGTGTGTAAACCCTTGGACCCAGGGGCCGTCCCGCCCCCGGGAACTTCACCGCTAGGAGTCCCTTTCTAAGAGTAACGCCATGCAAATACACTAAACGAGAAAAAGCAAAATGCTGTGTAACTGATTCCATTTGTCAAAGATTGATGCTTATATGTGCTCCTACAAGGAACTTAATAGCATTATTTTTACAGTTGGGAAAACCTTTTAACTTGGAGGTAGTAGTAAAAAACCCAACCCCTGTTTCCGTGTCTTGGCCTCTGGAGAGAGGCTGGTGAGGCAGCCTTGCAGTCCTGAGCCAGGAGCCAGGGCCGGGGCTGAGGCCGGGGCTGCCGTGGCAGGCAGAGCCTCCTCCTTAACAGAGTGGTCCCGCTGCTTCTCCAGGTGCACCCAGACATCGGCATCTCTTCCAAGGCCATGAGCATCATGAACTCGTTTGTGAATGATGTGTTTGAACGGCTGGCTGGCGAGGCTGCCCGGCTGGCCCAGTACTCAGGCCGAACCACACTGACATCCCGGGAAGTCCAGACGGCAGTGCGTCTGCTGCTGCCTGGGGAGCTGGCCAAGCACGCCGTATCCGAGGGCACCAAGGCCGTCACCAAGTACACCAGCTCCAAGTGACCCAGGGCCAAACATGAATAAAGAGTGAACTGCTCCCGCGCACTGTGGTGATTTGGAAAGGGGAGGTGTGACGTGGGGCAAGGGTATTGTCACTCTTTATGGCTACAGGGTAGAGTAATACTTATTCATACTTTTTAAATACTGCTTTCTGAGTGTGCCCCCTGAGCATCATGTGACAGTGCTTTGTAAACCCACAAAGTTCTAACCGAGCTTTAGCAGGACTTGGGATCTGGATTAGAATCCTCGATCGGCTGTGTGTTAAGTCTTTCAGGCCATGGTTTCATGATGCCTTTTCTGGCAAACTATCATTTTTGTCCTGTGTTGGCCATGGGAGCCCCATAGATCTTATTCTTCAAGACACAAAATGGAAGGGTTCTCAATAACCTGCTGGGATCTATAGGATGTGCTTCCTTTCCCCTAATGTTTCCTTCCCCCTAATTTCAGAACAAATTGGTAGGGATATTTGAGACTCCTCTTTTTCTCCAAACTTTATGTTGAAAAATCTCAAATCCACAGAAAAATTGCAAGAAAGTTCAATGACCACTTGTATATCCTTCACCTAGATTCACCACCTAACATTCGCTCACACTTGCTTTTTCTCTCTCATTCGGCCTCTGCTCTATCTTGTGGGCTTATGACCCACAAATTCTCTCCTAAGCTGTGAGGGGGTGGGGTGAAGGGGTTGCATTCAGGGAACAAGTCTAAAATCCTTTATCTTCCCTTTGCCACTGGATAGACACAGCTTGTCCCCTTCATGTACTGAATAGGCTCACTGTAACGGGGCCTGACATCTGGATGCCATCCTACATCCTTGACATATATTTTCTTAGAGGCCAAGCCTAACCTGGAGATGCCATGAGAGGGGAACCAATCACCCACATTTTAGTCCCACAGCTGGAAAGGAGAGGGCCCAGGAGACCTGGCCCCTGAGCCCTGGCTCTTCCCCACTCCCACTGAGTTTCATACCTTGCTCTGGTGTGACTCAGAGACCCAAGTCAGATCGTGGAATTAGCATCTGCACTTTTGACAAGATCTCAGGTAATTTGCGTGCACACGAAAGCCACAGAACTCCTCATCTCTTGCTCCTCTTTGCTGCTCTCCCCTTTCTTTCCCTTTCCTTTGCTCTGTGCTTTGTTTATTCATACGTTCCCGACTTAACACCGAATCAAGAAGGTCCCCCTCAGCTGACCAGAGTCAGGGTGCTGTTGCTATGTTTTGTATTTTTCCCAAGAATGGTCCCCTGAGCCTGTTGCCCTGATGGCTACAGCCACAGAGGGCTCAGAACCAGCCCCAAAGGCCACTGGGTCCCCTCTTCTACTCTTTCTAATGTCATTCTTTACACAGGCATCGTTCGCATGAACCATGTGAAGTGCGATCAGACCCCAGGGAAACAGGCGTGCTTGTGCTCATCTCAAGGTGGAGTCATGACTTTGCAGCCTGAACCCCAACCTTCTGACCCCAACTCCAGTGCCCCTTCCCCTTACATCACACCTGCCTCCAGGACAGTCATCAGTAAGAGCCAAGGAGGCTGGCTCTGAGTGAAGGAGTATAGGGTTCCTCCAGCTGAGAAGTGCAGTTGGAAAAATGAATGCCTTTAGGACTAACCTTCACCCAGAGCCTCACTGCTCCCAGGGTGACTTCAAATAGCGACTCCTCTTTTATTTGATCCTCACAAGAAAAGCAGCCACGGCTGACCCCACACTCTGCCCCAGCCTTCCAAGGCTTGATACGGGAACATCCTCTGAGATAGGGGTCCTCAGTCCTGTACCTACTGCCCCCTCCCCTCACAGCCTTAGAACATTGAGACAATGGGCCAGAACTCTCAAAACTGGGCTGTTCTGGCTTTCGGGGCATGGAGTCGAGGTGGAGGCACAGCTTCTGTTGACTGCATGACCAGCTCACAAAGGGAACTGTGAGAAGTGGGCACCATGTCTGAGGGGTGAGTGAGGAGCAGGAGTGGAGCCCCCAGGGCTGGGGCAGGTGGGTGAGGAGAAGGGGTGCCGGGGAGAGGGGTTTGTGTGCTGGGCCAGCCCTGGTTAGGCCCCAGACATTCACACAGCACCCCCTGGCTGTGCCGGTCTGTGGTCAGCTTTCCCTCTTCAGACTTTCCTTGAACTACTTATTCCAGAATCAGGGGAAGGGACCCTTCTCTACACTCACCCCTCACCCCCATTTCCCACTCACCCTTCTAGACGACTGCAGCATCCCTGGGCTGCACCCTCTCCCTGGAGGGACCGACTGCAGACTCCAAGAGACCTTTTCCTTACAGGGAGCCCCTGAGGGCCATGCCTATCCTTCACCTTCCTTGCTAATCCATCAGTGGCCTCCTCCCTCCCAGGGATCCCAATCTCCCACGTGCTGGAGGCCTGGACGTGTGTTCTCTTCACTACCACCTCACTCCCCCTCAGGACCCCTCCGGGCCATGAGTAACCTTAACTGCACACCTCTGGAACCCGGAGTTCACACTCCCCAAAAGGCTCAGTAGAGCCGGTCTTCCCCCCCTTCCCCCCCCCCACTCCTCCGAGGCGCAGATCCGAGGCCTGCTGCCCCCCTCCTCTCCAGAGCTTACCAGCGCCTCTGGGACTCCTCCCACGTGACCCTGCAAGAGCTGCTGGACCAGGAGCAGGCCCTGCTCGAACCCGTGCCCCCCAGGGAGCGGCAGTCGTTCCAATACAGGCTCTCGTCGATCTACCTGCACTACCTGGGGCTGATGCGCCGGTTCGACACCCTCTACGACCAGATGGTGCAGCCGCAGAAGCGGCGGCTGCTGCGGCGGCTGCTGGACAGCGTGGCGGGCCGCGTGCTGGAGCTCAAGGACGACCTGGTGCGCGCCGACCTGAGCGAGTACCACTGCCTGGACCGCGTGCTGCAGGACCTCAAGCTCACCCCGGTGCGCGGGCCGCGCTGCGGAGCCACGCCCACTCCAGCGGAGGGGCGGGGTGGCCGGTAGCCTTGACCTCCCGCGGACGCGGAGCCACGCCTCCACCACCTGGAGCGGGAGGGGGCGGAGAGGCCTGACCTCCCAAGGACAACCCTGGTGTTGGGACCTCTGCAAGGGAAGGGGAACGGGGCAGATCAGGGGATGGGGTTTGATCGGGAGAAGAGTTTCAGGAAGAGGGGGTGCATGCGAGTAGTTGGGGGATGGCGAGAGAGTCAGGCTGGAGGCTTCGCGGGGCTGGGAACACCCACCAACCGCAGGGGCTTGGTGAAGACAGTCCCCCAGAGGCCCGCTTCTCAAAGTGTGGTTCTTGGACCAAAAACATCAGCATCACCTAGGACTTTGTTAGAAATGCAGAATTTCGGACCACAGCTCAATCCCACTAACCTGCTTCTGCATTTTAACAAGCCTCTAGGGTGGTGTGAATGCTCCAGTCTCCAGGCTGCCCCAAGGGCATGGGCCACTGCTCCCCATCCGAAGCAGTCTCAAAGTTCCCAGACCCACTGCATCAAACTCAGCTGTGGACTTGAAAAAACAAACTAACAAAAACAGATTCTCCAGGCCCTGCCACTCTGATGTGGTAGTCTGGGAGGGCCTAGGAGTCTGCATTTTAAGAGCTTCCCAGTTGATTCTGATGCACAGTCAGGATTGGAACCACTGCCCATTACGTATCATGATCCTCCAGAATTCAACTCCGGTTACATGGTGGGGCAGGGAGATAGAGGGATGAGCTTAAGGGCATCTGCCCCTAACCCATAAATCTCCCACCCCAGAGCTCTAGGATGAAGGAAACCATCACCAGGATCTGTGTAAGCAGCTAAAATGGTAGCATCAGCCAGATGGCCTGGATTTTGAGTCCTGACCCTCCTTACCCCATATTGCCCCAAAGGCAGACCTGGAGGTTCCAATCCCCAAATACTTTCTGCTGGAGCAGTCCACCATTCTGAAGGAGCGAGGGCTGATGCTGGCAGAGATCCTGTCCAGAATGGAGCCAGTGACCTCTGAGGGGGTAAGTCAGGGACACACCCTCCCAGATTCCTCTCATACACCCCTCCCAGAACAGAGATGCCATCTTCCAGGACAGAGAGGATTTGCCCTGCCCTATTCCCACCTCAGAGTGCTCTTTGGGGAATCCCTGGCCTGCTTCAACGATGCTCTTGTGCTCCCTGAAACCTTCTGACACCGAGATAGAGGACAGGACTTGGGCACTCCACTGGGAGGACCATGTCCCCAGCATGTTGTTTGGTGGATGGTCTCCCAGCTGCTAGCCTGGGTATAAGCCCTCTCGCATCTTCTCCTGCTCCTTTGCCCCTGCGGTGGCCAGGGTTTTCCAGAAATGCACCGGACCGAGGCCATAATCCTACTGCAAAGGGCTGAGCGGGCTAGGCAAGGCCGGCTCCGAGCCACCTTCATGCGAGAGATTCGGAAAGAGGAGGAGCGCGATAGGAAGATTCGAGAGGACAGTTGGCACAAGTTCAATCAGGACCAAGCGGCTATCACCATACAGAAGGTAACCCCCCAGCACCCAGGAGGAAGGTCAGGCTTGAGTCACCTCTTCCAGGAAGACTGCCTGGCTCAGCAATTGAGGACAGAGGTGCAGGTGCTTGGATTCTGTTGCCCCCATAACCAGATCCTAAACTGGGGACCTAATCAGTTAATAAGCTTGTATCTTGTGCTGTATTTCATAAAAGCCCCAGAAACAGAAGGATCATTAAAATTAGAGGAGAAAGATCCATAATAAGGTAGCAGAACATAGTAGATGATCATTCCGGAAACTCGTAAGACTGTTATAGATGAGTCACTAAAATGGATCCTGAGACTCCTGGCAGCTGAGGTAAAAGGAATGGTGATGAATCAGAGTTTGAGAACTGATGTGATCCAGACGTCCTCAAGGTCTGTGCCATCTGGGTCACCCATGGAAATAACAGAATCGCATCCCATCCGCCCCACTGCAGAAAACCCAGCCCCATCCCTAGGTGTCCCTGTGCCTTCTTACCGTCCCGATGGTCACCCCTCTCTTCTACTCTGGATGGCCACTCCGTACCTCTCAGCCCTTGCTGTCCCCCAGCATGCGAGTGTGTGCGTGAGTGTGTGTGTGTGTGTGTGTGTGTGTCTTCTCTCATCACTGAGTCCTGCTGACTCAGGCTTACTCTGTTTGGTGCTGGTTACCAGCTTAAGGAGACTGGAGTGGCCCTCGGAAAATTCCAGTGCAGAAAGGGAACCCTTTGCTTCTACAGCATCGTAGCTCCTGAGACCACTGCCCTGCCCCATCACAGGACGTCCCTTGCCACTTTTTCTTTCCAAAAGCAGGCCCAGAACTGCTGACATGGGGCTGGTCTTTCTGTCTCCAATGAACGTCTTCTCCCAGCTTCTCTCTCAAGCCCCAGTGCCTCGGGAACTGTCTGCTAGCCTGAGAGAGGAAACTGAGAACTCCTTTCCGCCAAAGCCCAGAAGCAAACCAACCAATTAACAAATAATAACTCAAGAAGATATATGCCCTCCAAATGGGATAGATTTTTAGACTTTTTAAAAAAGATTTTGTTTATTGGGGCACCTGGGTGGCTCAGATGGTTGAGCGTCTGCCTTCAGCTCAGGTCATGATCCCAGAGTCCTGGGATCGAGTCCCGCATCGGGCTCCCTGCTCCGCGGGAAGTCTGCTTCTCCCTCTGCCTCTCTCTCTCTGTCTCTCATGAATAAATAAATAAAAATCTTTAAAAAAAAAGATTTTGTTTATTTATTTGAGAGAGAGAGAAAGAGCACAAGAACAGCAGAGGGAGAGGGAGAAGCAGGCTTCCCACTGAGCAGGGAGCCTGACGTGGGGCTCGATCCCAGCACCCTGGGATCCTGACCTGAGCTGAAGGCAGACGCTTAACTGACTGAGCCACCCAGGAGCCCCTAGATTTTTAGATTTTTAATCAATGCACGGAGCATGCCTATCTGAGCCCCGTGCATCTGGCTGACTTATTAATGTCAGGCTGGCCCACGGATGAGGAGGAGGCCCTGCCCCCAGGGCTCGCTAAAGCAAGCCCTTCGAGGAGGAAGGTCAGCCCCCAAAGAGAGACCCCCACTACTCCCCCTGAAAGCCGAAGCAAGTCATTTTGTCCCTGTTGCCAGACACCGAGAATGTGGAAATACTGCCGACAGAAGAGGCTGCTCTCTGAGGTTCTGTTATGGAACAGAAGCCACCTGGCCAGGCCCTGGTGCTGCCTCCCCTGCCCAGTGCCCCGCCCCCACCCCACTGGTACCCGGCTCTCCACGGGGCTGAGAGTGGCCAGAGGCCTGGGAGAAGAGCACTGGGCAAGGAGTCAGGAACCCTGGCCCTGTCTCAGCTCGGCCCAAATGGGCTCTTAGACCCAGGAGAGGCCATGTCCTATCTCCAGCCTCAGTTTCTTTGGGTCAAAACTGTAGGAATTCACCAGGGGAGCTCCATGGTCCTTACAGTACGGATGTCTATGTGCCCAGCAAGGCAGAGGGGGGATCAAGTGTGTATTCCAAATGCTGTAGGAATTCTGAGAAGTGAGAGTGGGAGTGCTTCTGGGAGAAGGTGGTATTTGAACTTGACCTCAAAAGAGACAGCAGATTAGACGGTGGGGATGAGAAGGAGGGAATTCCTAGGGGCCCCTGAGGGGGAAAGCCTTGGAGCTGGACTGCGTGGGTGCCTACCGGCCCTGCCCTGTCCTGCACTGCTCCTGCTCAGGGTGTCGCTTGCCCACGAGCAGCCCTGGGAGATGTCCTCCCCGGCACTCCTCCCCCACGTCCCACCCCAAAGCTCCCCTACCCAGACCTTCCCTTGTGAGTGGCTGGTGCTTCTCCCTGGGGCTGATGGCACGAGCCGCACCCCTGCAGAAATGCAGTGTGGGGCATGTCTGGGCCCATGTGTCCCCCCAGGTGTGGAAGGGTTACCTGCAGAGGAGACGTACTCAGCAAGACCGGCGAACGGAGATGGAGTTCATTGGCATGGTAAGTCCCTGCCTCGCTCCAGGCAGGGGCTCGGGCTGGGCTAGTTCATGGGGTCTCCTCCCCTCTTTTTTGTCCCTCTGAGCCCCCTGTACAGCTCCTCACTGCCCACGCCTCCCTCCACTCGGGACTGTGCTTGGCATGAGTGGAGGGATTCAGGCCTGGGGACCCTGGTTAAGGGATCCTTCAGGGTTCGAGAAAGAGCGAGAAGGACCAGAAAACTACCACCAAGCCCCGTCCCTTTCTACCCCTCCCTCTCTAAAACCTTTGGAAGGATCTCCCATGTGGGGCAGGATGAGGGATTGTAGCCCAGAGCATCCTGGACCTCATGTTCATGCCGCTGGTCGGAAGGAGAGGCTGAGTGCGTGCACCCAGCAGAGGGAGGAGGCCACAAGGCTAGTGGGGAACCCCCCCTCCAGGGCTCTTGCAGCCTCTGGGAGAACCACGGGGGCCAGGGTGGGTGGGGGCATACCCTTTCACAGCAGAGTGTTTCAGGCCACAGTCTCCCCACCTGCTCTGAGGGGCCCAGACTGGCTTCTCCTCTGCAATGCAGGGAGTCTAGCTGAGTGTTACCTGGGTCCATGAGCACGAGTGTGCAGCTAGGGGAGCGTGGGTGGTAGGAGGGGCAGGCCCCCAGTGCTTGGGCGGGCAGGCTAAACGGGCCCCACTCCCTGAGTAACACCTGTCCGCTACTCTCGGCTGGATCTTACTTCCGGCTAGTCTCTGCTGACTTCGGCCATGGCGGTGGTGAGGGGTGTGATCCCTGAGAAGGAGCCCTGCAGTGGGCAGAGCCTGTGAAGGCCTCCTGATACAGGGAGTTGCGTAGAGGCTGGGCTGGGGCACCAAAGGGATCAGAGACAAGGGCCCGGGTGGCTCTTCTAGGAGGCTTGGGGGCTTCAGAAGGAAGGAAGGATCAGGGGGCATGATGCGAGTGGAGGTCAGACTTGGGGGCCTGGAGAGCTGGACCCCCAGGAGGCAAGAGCAGGCAGAGGGAGGCCAGGGTCGGGCCTTGGGGGGAGGTGGGGGGGCATGGCATGGTGGTGGGTGAGGAATGAGCCTGGCCGCCCGGGCCCATCAACAGTGTGAGCTCAGCGTTTTCAGTAATTGTCTCTGCGCAGAGTGATATTTAAAATACATTTGCGAGCCAATGAGGCGGGAAAGTGGCTGCGGGAGCGGCTGCCAACACGGGCCGCTGGGGCGGGGGTGTGCGTGGGGGCTGGGGCCAGAGGCTCACAGGGGAGGGTGTGCTGGGGGGAACGGGCAGGGGGGCCAGCCCAGATGCATCTAGCAAACTCATTATCAGAGTAATTTACGCAGGCGAGTTTTGGCTCCAAACACGATTTCTCCCGACGCAGGCATGCCCGTTGTTCCATGTGGATGTGTATGCAGGGCCTTGCATGTGCGAGTGTGCTGGGGAAGAAGGGGGCAGGTGTGTGTGCCTGAGGCCAGGGGCTGCGCCCTCCCCACTCCCACTCCCACTCCCGACTCCCTGCGCCTCTTCCCCACTTCGCCAGCTCCCCTCGCCACCCAACCAGGTGGGGAATGTGGGTGTCGTGTGTCAAGCCGGCTTCGGGGAGGATATCCGGAGGATCCGCCAGACAGAGAAGGAGGAAGAGTTCCAGTTGGCGATGGTGAAGACCCATGACTCTCTCAAAGAGACAGAGGGGCCCGACATGAAGGAGAAATTGAAGGAGCAGATCCGACAGTGGTTTATTGAGTGCCAGTCAGTGTCTCCAGCCTCAGCTGACCCAACCTTCAACCCCTCTTTCCCTCCTCACCACCGTGTCCCCACATCTGTTCTGTTCTCTAGTCCAGACTGAGCCCTTTTCTCCATCCACTCCCATCCTCCTTCCCTCACTGCTCACACCCTGACTTAAACCTGGGGCCCCCAACTATCTCTGCACATGACTTCTCATTTCCCTGGATGGAAGAGAAAATGCCAAAACTAGATGAGGAAAGCATCCATGGATGCCCCCTGAGGAGTCTCTCCTTTCTAATCTGTAACTCTCTGCTCCTTCCCTCTTGTCCTCTATCCCCCTAGTCCTTTTTCTTTCTTCATCCTTCCCTCTATTTAACTATCCATCCATTCACCCACTCTTCTACCCCATCCATCCATCCACCCATCCATCCATCCATCCACCCACCCAACCACCCATCCACCCTTCCATCTGTCCATCCACCCATTTGTTCATCTCTCTGACCATTTTGTGTTTACTTAGTGCCCTTACTGGCCGATTCCCTGATTATCCAGATGAGTCTGTAGGTGGATCCTACCTGATCTTTGCAGACAAGACTCCAGAACAGGTACCCTATAGGTGGAGACAGGAGACTTTCTGTGGTAGGTGGGGTCTGAGGTTACAGACAGTCCTGAGTGTAAACTGAGGGTGGCAGTAGGGTTGGGGGGAAAGGTCAGTCTCAGCGGAGGCAGATGTGTTGGAGGAAATATATGTAGCTAGCAAGACTGCATGGGGGGTAGGGAGTGCTTGTGTCTGGAGAAGACATCTTTGGCCAGGGAGAGACAGCATGTCTGGTGAGTCTCTTTGTGACGTCAAATCCCCATGGGCCAAGAAAGAGCAGCAGCTCTGATCGGATCACCTCTTTCTTCTTGGACCCCAGTGAGGTCTCTGGACTCTTGACTATCTGGACCCTATGAGTGACCCCAGTCCACCCCCGTCTCAGGCCTGGGTTCTTTTGCTCCTATAGAATCCCATTGGTCTTCTCTGAAATGTCTTCCATCATTGGTCACAGGTAAAAATGGAACTGGAGGCACAGATCCAGGAGAGCAAAAAAAAGGACCAAGAGAAAAACAAGGAAAAAGAAAAGGAGAAAAAAGAGAGGAAGCAGAAGAAAGGGAAGAAAGAGAAGACCAGGAAGGGGGTAAACACCCACGTGGTGTGGGCCAAGTGGGCAGGGGGAACAGAGTCTGAGGAGATTCCTGGTGGGAGGCTGGTCTGAGGAGAGTAAGGGTCAGAGACCATGAGGGGGTCGAGATCAAAGGATGTTTCTATTCTAGGAAGCAGACACAATGCTGAAAGTGTGGCCATCCAAATTTATACCTGTGATTAATGCCGGACATGAGGAGTACATAAGTAAGGCGGGAGGGGGCTGGGGAAGACTGTCCAGGCCTTGTGAGGTCCTTAGGGTGACCCTGGGTCCTGGGGAAAGTGGACACATGCTCTGTGGATAGTGAGGTGGCAGTGTGGGTGTGTGGATGTGTAGGCCAAGGGGAGAATGCCAAAGGGGACAGAAGTGTGGAGTGTGATTCCCTGGGTGGGGGGAGTTATGCCTTTGATCTGAATCCTACGGATTCGGCTTTGGGGTCAGGCCTTTGTGGTCTGGGTAGAAGCAGGGCCAGACAGCCCTGTGAGGATGGAGGTACCAGCGTGGGTCAGGTTCCTGGTCCATGTATGCGTGTGTGTGAGACAGACAGACAGGTGCAAAGAGACAGAGCAAGAGAAAGGTGGACCAGGCTGGGTCAGGTTCCCGGCCGAATGTGTGTGAGTATGTGGGTGCCCTGGGACTCTGAACTTCATTCCTCTGTCCATCTCTCCATGGTTAGACCTGTGGAGGAACCAGTATGAGAGTATATACCCGAAACAGAGTTTTGACCCCGAGACGCTCCGGATGGAGAAGAGGAAGGAAGTAGAGCAGGAGATCCGGATACAGGTGAGTGAGCTGGCTCAGGGCCTCCTGGCGGCCCTCCCCCGCCCCCTCCCTGGACCTCCCCTGCTTCGGGCTCTTCCCCTCAAGCCCCTGGACTGCCTCTCTTCTGTAGCAGCCTCTCTGTGCTGCCTTTTCTGTGTCATTCTAGGTCCATCTTGGTCCATCTCGGTCCCCATCATCCTCTGCGTCTCTCTGGTCCCTCTCTCCCTGGGGTGTGGAGGGGCTCTGAGCCAGGGTCATGCCCACCATCATGCCCATCAACCCTTCAAGAGCTGCTGCCGTGTGGCTGCAGGGTGTACCTTGGGAGCCTTAGATCATGTGACCTTTCCAACACCCCTGAGGTGGGCGCCATGATTTTCCTGATGTCAGGAAAATGATTAACCTGCTCATGTCACACAGGTTTTAAAGGGTGGGTCTGGGGCTTGAACTGAAAGCCAACTGACTCCATCCTGGAGCTTCTCCCCACATTGATGCCAGGCGAGGGCTAGGCTCCTGCATGAGCAGGATATGGATTAGCATTGGGTGTGGACTGGTACAGGGACAGGGACAGGGGAAGAAGGGCAAAGCCTGCAGGTCCCAGAAGGGTGTGTAGGAAGGTTGTTGGCGGGCACCCCTGCTGCCTTCCCTGGGCTTGTCTCACTCTTCTCTGAGGCTGCTCTCCTCCTGTCCACCCCGTCCCAGTCCTCACCCCTCCCTCCTGTCCTCTCCAGCCCTGGCTGCCCCACCGAACTCCCTGCTGTCCCCCCAGGTGGATGAGCTGATGCGTCAAGAGCTGAAGACCCTGCGCCTGGCCGTGGACAGGGAGGAGGGGAGACCCTTGAAGTATCCGAAGGCAAGATGAGGGGTGAACGCTGGGACGCAGACGTGCCCACGGTGCGGGGGCGGGGGCGGGCAAGGACCAGAGGACAACTGCCTGTGTGCTTGTTTCCAACCAGAAAAAGACTGGGAAGAAAGCTGGGAAGAAGAAGAAGGAAAAAGATCTGACCCCAAACAGGTAGCAGACCCTTTACCTTATCGTGGGTGGTGAGCAAACCCTGGCCCAGGACCGATCTGACTTCTGGTCCTGGTTCTGTTGCTGTGTGGCCTGGAGAAAGTCACTTAACCTCTCTGACTCCCTGTCCTCGTTAACCAAGTACCCACCCTGCCAAAGGCACAAGATAGCTGTGAGGATCAAATAGAAGCCTGAGAAAATGCTTTGGAAATGATGGTGCAGGGGAAGATGTGAGCGGAGGATTGTCCTCAGTGCTCCCTCCTTCCTGTTCCCCCCTCCAGCCTTTTGCCTTAATCAGCTCTGTCCCTACCAAAGCCATCTCCCCCTGGATGCCACTCTGGGGCCTTGAGGAACTTGCCAGTGGTCCCTGCCTAGTCACTTCTTTGGTGAAGTGAGTCTCGAGCACGATGATGTCAGCTGCTTCCAGGAGTGTGTACACGAAATGTGATTTCTAGAAAGAGGGGGATATGTCGCCCAAATGACTGGGTTTCTGATGGTGAAACTTGGGGCCATGTGCAGACTGACGGAGGGAGGGTCGGAGGGCGCTGCTGCTTCTCACGCCCCACTCAACCCACAGAGCACCCACTGCCGGGCCAGTGGGTTGGTGCTGTGCCTTCTGGTGCTGGCTGTCACTATGGGTATTTCCGCACTCAAGCCTGTAGCATCACGCCACTCATCTCTGCCTCCACTTCCCTTCGTCCTTGGCGCCCCCTCCGTGCTGTCCTCTGCAGGTCCGTGGACTCTCTGTTTGAAGAGCTCGTGGTCTTTGGCTTTCTAAGGAAGAGCGAGACAGTGGCCTTGAAAGATTACATCGGTGAGACCCCCCTCCCCAGCGCCTGCTCCCTCTGCAGTGGCTGGCTTCTGCCCTCTGCAGTGAGCCCTCTCCCCAAGTGGCTCTCTCTTGGCCCTGCCCCAGTGGGTGCCACTCACCTGTCCCCCCAGGTGACTACCTCTATCTTGGATCCATTCTGAACCTGGCAAACAAGTTGCCTATGCCTTCCCTGTTTGACATACGACAGAATGTGGCCTTGTATGGGGTCCTTCGGCTTGGTGAGATGCCCTGGGGAGCGGGGAGAGCCACTCTGGCCGGTGGCTCTTAGGGGAGCCGGGGTGCGTGTCAGGGTGGCTGAGGTGGACATGTCCCCTGTGCCATGGATCTATGCTGGACTCCTCCTGCCTTCCCCAGGCCCTGCTGGAGGTCACACCCAGATTGGGCCACCCCAGAAGTCATGTGAACTCTTGACCTACCGAGGAGTCCACTTTTCCGGCCCCTCACCCAACCCCAAGTGATATCCCGTAGTCTGTCCCCATCCTGGAAGACCAGGATCTTTCTGAAGTGGTTGGTCATAGGTCCTTTAATTCTACCCCTTCATGATCCAGAAGTGGAAAGAGATGGTACAGAAAACCAAAGGGGCATTGGAAGGGGATAGAAGGCTCCCTCCTGCATCTAGCTCTTTATACTCGTACCTGGGGAGCCGATGGAAGTCCTCTGGGCGGCCTCTCTCAGCGTGCCTGCCTAGGGGATAGCTCGCACACCAGGGGACGGCAGCGTGCTGGGGTCCGAACTTCATCCCACCCAGCCCTGGGCCTCTGGCCTCACCTTACGCAGTGGCTTCCAGCCCGTCCCTTACCGGCCTACTGCCTGCCTCTGGCCCCTGTTTCCTCTCTCAGGCTCCCCAGATATACACTCCATGGCTCCCCTCATCCGCTCCATCCTCCTGGTGGGCCCCTCTGGCATGGGGAAGAAGATGCTGGTCAAGGCCGTGTGCACAGAAACTGGTGCCAACCTGTTTGACCTGTCACCTGGCAACCTGCAGGGCAAATATCCTGGCAAGATGGGGGTGCAGATGATAGTTCATATCGTCTTTAAGGTCTGAGTCCCCCGACTTTGGCATTTCTAGTGCTCAGGCGGTGCCCACAGAGCAGGGTGGGCTTTATGCTTAGGAGGTCACCCATCTGCCTATTTGGTGTGATTTCAGGAGCTGGTGAGGTCTCCCTACCAACCCCTGCTAGAAGCTTGTGGATTCCTGAAGCCCTGGGGGTGGGGGAGGTTGGGGGGAAGTGGGGAGCAGAGCAGTTTCTTTCACGGTAGAGCTGAGGCTTAATATGCAGCCTCCCCACGCAGGGAGGGCAGAGATTCTGTTCCCACGGAGGTGTGGTGGAGGGCCAGCAGGCTGAGAGGTGGGACGGGCCGCACGTGGGAAATGGGGGCCGAGCTCCAAGGCCAGCCCTTGGACCAGACGGGGAGGTGACCCTTGCCCAGGGACATCTGACGCCAGGTTTTTATTCTCTGACCTGTCCAGGTGGCTCGACTCTTACAGCCCTCCGTGATCTGGATTGGGAATGCCGAGAAGAATTTCTATAAGAGGGTCCCAAAAGAAGAGAAGGAGGTGTGGGGACCTGGGTAGCAGCATGAGCCATGGGCAAGGCTGGCTTGGGCTTGTTTAAGTCAACTCCAAACCTCGTCTGCCGTGGGGCCTTGGACAAGTTCCCTGTCCTCCTGATGCCTTTTCCTTATCCTGGAAGCAGGACTGGCCTCCTGCCTGTGTCGCCCCCAGTGTCCACGCGAGGCTGAGTGTGGGCATGTGCTTCGAGAGAACTCAGAAGCCCACAGAAGTCACACGTCTCTCCCCCCCATCTCCCCAGAGCAGATGGACCCAAAGCGAATAAAGAAGGATCTCACCAAAGCCCTGCGACTGCTGGGCCCAGGAGACCGTGTGATGCTGATAGGGACAACTGACCAGCCGCATCTGGCCGAGATGAAGGGGCTGTGCCGGACCTACGAACGGATCCTCTACATGCCGCGGCCTGATTACGCTTGTCGCTACGGTGAGGCCCTGTGACGTGAGGGCAGGCCGGACAAGGGATCCAGGGACCACCCCTGCCAGAGCCTCCTCACCCTTCTCCCCCTCCCCACTCTGCTCTGAGACCATGCCTCCATGGCAGGAAAGGGCAGCTAGACAAGCAGCCCAGTGGCCTGGGTCCTGGCCTGGCTCCGTGGACACGGGCAGGCCACATAAGTCCTCCGAGTGTCACTTCCTCGTGTTCAGTGGACAGGATGATGCTCAACTTCCTGGGAGGGGAGGCACTGATGTGCACAGAGCCGCTCTCCAGAAGCACAGACCTCATTCCAGATAGAGGTGGTTGCTTCTCCCTCACTGCTTGCTTCTCCCTGCCCTGTGTCCTTCCCCAACACCTGCAGTGCTCTGGAGGCAGATGATAGAGGCCCAGGGGGTCCAGGTGACCCAGAACCTAGACATCAGTGCCCTGGCCAAGGTGTCTGATGGCTACACACCCGGTCACATTCTCCAAGCCATCCACTCAGTGCTGACCGAGCGGCGGGTCCTGCAGCTGTCCAAGCGGCCCCTGGTGGCCTCAGAGTTCCTGGGGCATCTGGCCAAGCTGGAGCCCGTGTACCGGGAGGAGGAGGAGTCCCTGAAGGTGAGGCTTCGGGGGTGGGCATAGCGGGGAGGCCAGGAGCCAGCACTAACCAGGGAGTCAGCCCTCTGAAGCCCCCCTTAGACCCCTCCCTCTGCTCCCCCATGGAGTTGAGCTGGGAAGGGGACAGGAAATCACAGGGAAGGACATGTGGGCAGGACCAGCTTACCTGGTGTCCTCAAGGGCCGGAGCCCGAAAGTGCCACCTGGGTATTAAGAGCCCGTGGTTGGTCCTGACACCAGTGGACACCCACTTCCCCCACCTCAGTCGCTGCCCACCAGTGCCCCATGTGTGGCAGGATGGCCATGGAGAGAGGGCTTGCCCCCGACAATGGCTGACCCCGTGGCCTGGAGTATTTGGTGCAGAGCAAGGGAAACCGAGACTCTAGCAGGACGCCTGAGCCGGGGAAGAGAGGATGAGCCGGGGAAGAGAGGAGAACCGGCTGCTGCCGCGGAGGGCACATCGGTGGGAAGGGGAGGGCAAGGTCGGGAGGCAGAAGCCGGGGTGGAGCCAATGCACTCCCGCCTCCCCCCCTCTTCCCACCAGGACTGGTACTTCAAGACTCCACTGGGCAAGAGGAGGCTAAAACTCATCAAGGACCAGGACGCTGAGGAAGCCAAGCTGGCGAAGGAGAAGAAGAAAAGGAAGTGATGGTTGAGGCCAGGGTGCCCGAGGTTGGCAGGGGGACTGGGCGGCTCCCAGCCGTGGAGGGCCTGTGGCAGAGGCATAAACGGCCACGCAGCTCGGGGAGCGGCTCTCTCTGTCCATCTCCGCGCTTCCCGCCCCTGCTCCGCGCCCCCTGCCTGTGCCCAGCCTCCCCCTCTCGCCCCACCCCTGCTGGCCCTCCGTCCTCACCCACTCACAGCCTTCACCCTCAGGCCCCAGAGCCCTGTCCTCTGACCCTCACCCATGTCTTCATCTCCTGTTGGTTCCTGTCCTGGCTCCCCAGCTCTCTTCCTCCTTGGGGTTTTTAAGAGAGAAAAAAAATAGAAGAAAGAAAGAAGGAAAAAGAGAAAGGAAAAGGAAGGTCTACAGTAAGTCTGGAAAAAGAAAAAAAAACAAGTTTGGAAGTCAGCAGCCCCCGGTGTTAGCCCCACCTAGGTGGGAACTCCCTGTGTGATCTTGCACAGACCTTTCCTGTCTCCGGGCCTCAGTTTCCTTACCTGTAAAACAAGGAGAGGTTGGACAAGCCTCCAAGGTCCCTGGTACTCCAGGGTTTGATTATCCTTACAGAAGGGTGTCAGTGGGGTGAGGACTCTTAGGCAGCGGCGGGGTGGGGTAGAGGAAGGTTCTAGGGAGAAAGGGTGTAGTAGGTGGCCAGAACAAGGGCTCCTGGTAGAGAGCCAGTGCCTTCTCTGAGTGGTCTCCACGCCTTTCTGAAACATGCCTGCCCCCCCTCCCCGCCCCACCGGCCCAAGCTCTGCTCTCCTTCCTTTGACCCAGAGCCTGTCCCTCAGGGAGTGGATGGAACACAGCCTCCTGCCCCCAGGTGGAAGTTCATCTGTGGGTCCCCTTTGCTGGGGAAGGAAGAGTTGGGGTGCTGGAGAAGGAGAGCTCAGGGAGCAAGGGACAGTCGTGCCACCGAGGGCTGGGAGCCCCAGAGCTCTCTCAGAAGAAGCAGTGTAAAGAGTGTGTGAATAAAAGTTAAGGTGTGTTCTGCAGGTCATAGAGGCCAATGGGAGCCAGATGAAAGGAGACCACTAGGGCTGGAGCGGGCCCAGGGCCCGTGGTGGGCCGCCCAGGGGCTGGGATTTAAGTTCTCTTCCTCCCTGTTTTCCTGTTTATCTCCCCCAATGAAAGTAGTCTCGTTATCCTAATGTGCCTGAATGGGTAGAACCACTTTCTCCTTCTCACTCCCTGACTGAGACCCCTCTAACGTTGGCAGGTAGGGGTGGGAGATGGGGGGTCAGCACCCAGGGTGGGCACTGGGAGTTTCTATTGCTGCCTGTGGGCCAAGCCCTCTCTCCCCAAGGCAGAAGTCTGTCTTCCAGAGAACACCTGGAAGGAAAGCCTCATGGAGTGGGGCCTTTTCTGCCATTCGTCACAACTGTGGAGCCTTTCCTTGGGTTTGGGAGGGGGAAGGTGCAGGGCTAATTTGGGAGGGCAGGAAAAATCGCCCGGCACCCACATGCCCTCCCTCTGGGATCAGAGCCCAAGCCGCTGGAGGCTGGCTTGGTGAAGCACAGGATAGATGACGAAGAGTATGAAATGGCAGCTTGAGAGCCCCCACTCCCCACCCCCACCCCCATTCTAGTCCCGGATCTGACACAAGTTGTCACACCTTGGGCAAATGGCTTTCCACACCCAGGCTCCATGTTCCTTTACCTGTGAAACTGCAGGTTGGCTACCACGATCTGGGCGATCCCTTTCAAGCCTGAGGGCCGTCAACTCCAGGGTGAACTCAGGGTTGGAGGGCTTGAGCCTCACTCTGTTCTCCAGCTCCTCCCTAATGCCCACTCCAGCCTGAGGCCGCCTTCCCTGGGACGGGCAGCTAGGACAGCTGGGGCTATTTACAGCATGGCCTACGTGCACTCACTGCCCCTCCCACACTAGGCCTCTGCCTGGCTCGGGCCCGGTGCCTGCCCGACCAGTCGGTCAGTGGCATCTCCCTGCGTCCTGCTTCTTCGGCTCCCTCTCTCCCGGAGATTGGCTATGCCTGGGAGAAGGAGCTCCCCTCCCCGCTGGGGACGCCGTGTGGGGTGCCTTCCTTCTGCCCTGGCCTGCCGGGTCTGGGGGTCCCAGGCCTGTCCAGCCTGGGAGCCAACTCGGCGGTCGCCACTACTGTGCCGTGACATGGCCTTGCAGAATGCGCTGTACACCGGAGCCCTGGAGAGGTTACAGGAGCTGTTTCCCCCACATAGCACAGCCGACCTGCTGCTGGAGTCCCGGGCCGCCGAGCCTCGCTGGAGCAGCCACCAGAGGGGTGAGGGACTCTGGGGCTGGAGGGCTAAGGGCCAGGGGCCTGGGCTGACCCTGTCAGATACAGAGTTACCAAGTGCTTGAGAAAGAGGAGAAGCGTCTGGCTACGTCTCCCCTACCCAGAGGCTTGCCTAAGCCTTGGCCAGGGAGTGAAGTCATGTGGAGCCCAGAATAGCTTCTGCTAAACCGCGTGGCCGGGTCAGGCTCCACTCAGGGACACAGAGACCCTCTCCCGCCCTCTGTCCCTGTTCCCCTCCTCTTCTTCCTCTCTCTGCCTCTGACCCCTCCTTCTCCCACTCCTCTTCCCACATGCTCGTACTCTGTCCTCATGAGCTGGTCCCCAGAAGAATGCAGGGAGCAGGGAGAACCCCCCAGTGACAGACACGCCCTCTGTGCCAGGCTGGTGGAGAAGCCCAACAGAGGGTCTGCCGAGCACCCAGAGTCTGGCCCGGGACCCATCGTCACCCGGACGGCCTCGGGACCTGCCCTGGCCTTCTGGCAGGCCGTGCTGGCCGGGGACGTGGGCTCTGTCTCCCACATCCTCGCCGATTCCAGCACTGGCCTGACTCCGGATTCCATCTTTGATACCAGCGACCCAGAGCGATGGAGGGATTTCCGCTTCAACATCCGCGCTCTGAGTACGGGCCAGGGGCACCGGGGAGGGGGGCATCTGAGAGGGAGAGGGGAGGCTGGGGACGGAGCTCTGGGCTCCCTCTTCCCAGCCTCTGCCCATCTCCCCTGTTGCCTGGCCGCTCTTTGCCTCCCTCCAGGGTCTGAGGCCCATGTCCCCTCTCTCCCTAGGACTCTGGTCTCTGACGTACGAAGAGGAGCTGACCACCCCGCTGCATGTGGCCGCCAGCCGGGGCCACACGGAAGTTCTGCAGCTGCTGCTGAGGCGGCGAGCAAGGCCTGACAGCGCCCCTGGGGGCCGCACCGCCCTGCACGAAGCCTGTGCCGCGGGCCACGCTGCCTGTGTCCACGCGCTGCTGGTGGCTGGAGCCGACCCCAGCATCCCCGACCAGGATGGAAAACTCCCCTTGCACCTCTGCCAGGGGGCCGGCACCCTTGAGTGAGTGACCCCCAGTCCAGCCCCCATTCTAGTCTTGGGGCCAGGCAGAGCCATGACCTCAGGGAGGACGAGCGAGCCCGTCAGGGGCTGGCAGGCCCGCTGAGCTCAGCTCAGGTGGGGAGTCAGGATGTGATTACCCCCCAAACCCTCCTACCACTGGCCCTGGAACTTTGGAATGGCCTGTACTTGGGACAGTTTCTGCTTCCCCAGGGTGTAAAAGGACTGTGGCAGGGACCCAGCTGCAGAGCCTGTGTTGGGAAGTTGTCTGGACCCATTATGGGGAGGTGGTATACTGTAAAGTGTTAATTTTTCTGAGTCTATCCTGTGTTCCAGGCCTTGTGCTAGGTACAGCGGTGACTGAGGCATAATGCTGCCCTCAGGGAGCTGACAGTCCAGGAAAGGAGAGCAGCCCCCAGTTAGGGCTTGCATTGATCCCTGTGGACAGGTCTAGCATTTCCCTGTTGGTGGGTACCCTCAGATAAATGGGCCTAGGGATGGAACTCAACTAACTAAACTCACAAGAAACTGATAGATATACCCATGTTTCAATATATTATTTAGTGTAGGGAAAATTCCTTTATTATGACCCAAATAATTATGCCGTATGTGTAGGGAGACTTGGGGGACGAGTCCTCACTCAATTTTTTAAAGAAGATTTTATTTATTTATTTGACAGAGAGAGAGAGCACAAGCAGGGGGAGCAGCAGGAGAGGGAGAAGCAGGGAGCCCTATGCGAGGCTCGATCCTAGGACCCTGGAATCATGACCTGAACCGAAGGCAGACGCTTACCCAACCAGGCGCCCCCTCACTCAATTTTTTGATGAGCGTGGAATCCTGGCAAAGGGACCCTTGGCAGATCTATGAACTAACTGTACATGCAGTAGAGGCCCTCCCTCTACAGACTGCGCACCTGACAAATTTCACATCTTGCTCCGGAATGGTGCCAAATTTTTATCCCTTTCATCATGAGCTGGTTAACCTCCTGTTAACCTCATCATCCTTCAGCAGACTCCATTGACTTATTATGGTCAAAGATGTATTCTATCCCAGTGTGTCCCAATAGAATACAATGTGAGCCACGTATGTAATTTAAAATTTTTTAGTGGCCTTATCAAAAAAATGAACAATAATGGGGCACCTGGCTGACTCAGTCAGTAGAGCGTGGGACTCTTGCTCTCGGGGTTGTGAGTTTGAGCCCCATAGTGGGTGTAGAGATGACTTAAATGTAAAATCTTAAAAAAAATAGAAAAAGATGAAATTAATTTTTTAAATTCTGGTAAAATACATATAACAAAATTTACCATCTTGACCGTTTCTAAAGGCACAGTTCAGTGGCACTAAGCAGGTTTACATTGTCAGGTAACCGTCACCACCATCCTTCTCATGAACATTTTAAATTTTATAAAACAAATTCTGGGGCACATGGGTGGTTCAGTTGGTTAACCATCTGCCTTTGGCCCAGGTCATGATCCCGGGGTCCTGGGATCGAGTTCCGTGTCGGGCTCCCTGCTCGGCAGGGAGCCTGCTTCTCCCTCTCCCTCTGCTGCTCCCCCTGCTTGTGCTCTCTCTATCAAATGAATAAATAAAATCTTTTTTAAAAATCTTAAAAAAAACAACCCTGAAATTCTGTCCTCACCGAACAAAAGCTTCTCATTCCTCTCTCCCTCCAGCTTGTGACAGCCACCATTCTTCTGGTTTCCAGAATTTGACGATTCTAGGTACCCCATACAAGTGGAATCACAGGGCATTTGTCCTTTTGTGATCGCTTCTTTCACTCAGCACGATATCCTCAGGGTTCATCCATGTTGCAGCAGGTGTCAGGATATCCTCCCTTTTCCAGGCTAAATAAGATCCCATTGTCTGTAGATGCTACATTTTATCCACTCATCAGCTGATGAACACTTAGATTGCTTTCTTTCACATTTTGGCTGTTGTGATTAGTGCTGCGGTGAACATGGGTGTACAAATATCTCTGAAATGGGTGAAATTAATTTTAATAATATCTTTTATTTAACCCAGTATATCCAAAACGTTGCTACTTCAACATGTAATCAACATAAAGAACTAATGAGATATTTTACGTTCTCTTTTTTGTACCAAGTCTTCAAAATTGGTGTGTATTTTAACACTCACGGCATGTCTCAATTAGACATTGTCATAATCCAAGTGCTCGATAGCCATGTGTGATTGGTGCCCCTGTATCAGACAACACAGCTCTATACAATCCCGCATTTTTGGTTCTGGCCATGTTCTAGCCCAGCCTCATGGAGACCACACCCAGTGAGAATCATTCTTTCCTTTCCCGCGTAAACAGAAGTATTTTTTTAAATTATTATGGATAGAGCCTGGGTGGCTCAGTCGTTAAGCGTCTGCCTTCAGCTCAGGTCATGATCCCAGAGTCCTGGGATCGAGTCCCGCATCGGGCTCCCTGCTCTGTGGAAGCCTGCTTCTCCCTTTCCCACTCCCCCTGCTTGTGTTCCTGCTCTCGCTATCTCTCTCTCTGTCAAATAAATAAATAAAATCTTTAAAAAAAATTATTATGGATAATTTTAAACATGTAGAAAGGTGGGCAGGATAATACGATGGGCCCCCCTGATCCATCACTACCCACCCTCAAGGGCTGCCGTCATGGTCTTTCCAGGCACCATGCTGCTCACAACTTCATTAGGTCCAGGTATTAGCAAGTATCCCCATTCTTCAGATGCGGACACTAGCTCCAAGAGGCTAAGTTCCGTTCGCCTTGAATTTCCATGTTCACGTTCTTACAGGCACACACGACCTTCTGTGAGGGCCGTCTTGGAGCAAATCTGGCTGGCCAATTTTGGTTTTGTTGCTCTTTCTCCCGTGCCCCCAATTCCATCCACACCCACAGCCAGCCCCCCCCCCCCACTTCCTAGCTGCGTGAATGTGGGCCAGGTCCTCACACCCTCGGGGCTCAGTTTCCTCCTCGGGACCTAGGATGGAACAAGTCAGTTCGTGTAGAGCCCTCAGAAGGGCTCCTGTTCTCACTGCCTGAGGGCTGCACGTGACTTTCACCCCCATGAAGACTTTAGGGCACCGCTCCTGCAGGGAGCACGCGGGCTTGAAGAGAAGGCTTTGCTGACCCTGCAGCGCGCGGCTGGGATGACTAGTGACCGGCAGGATGGAAGGGGAGGGGCAGACAGAAGCAGGAGCCGCCCAAGAACTGCCCCCAGGTTTGCCCTGCTCAGACTGGTAGGAGTGGAGGGCCCTATTTTCCTCCCCACCACCGTCTCGCCCTTCCCAGGTGTGCGGAGCTGCTCCTGAGGTTTGGGGCGAAAGTGGATGGTCGGTCTGAGGAGGAGGAGGAGACCCCTTTGCATGTGGCCGCCCGGCTGGGCCGTGTGGAGCTGGCAGACCTGCTTCTGAGACGGGGGGCATGCCCTGATGCCCGTAATGCCGAAGGCTGGACCCCACTGCTGGCTGCCTGTGACATCCGCTGCACGTCCCCCGCCGACGCTGAGGCCACCACCGCCAGCTGCCTCCAGCTCTGCTCTCTGTTGCTCTCAGCCGGAGCCGATGCGGATGCTGCTGACCAGGACAAGCGACGGCCCCTGCACCTGGCCTGTCGCCGCGGCCACGCGGCCGTCGTGGAGCTGCTCCTATCCTGCGGCGTCTGCACCAATGCCATGGACTATGGGGGACACACGGCCCTGCACTATGCTCTGCAGGGCCCAGCTGCGGCCCTGGCCCAGAGCCCAGAGCACACGGTGCGAGCTTTGCTCAACCACGGTGCTGTCCGCGTCTGGCCTGGGGCCCTCCCCAAGGTATGGGGCTGGGGCCAGAGGGAGGGCCGTGAGGGTGAGGGGAGGGGAGACGCGGACCTGCTCCCACTCACTCCAGATGCAGCCTCCAACCCTTGAGCACACGAGTAAGTTCTCCTTTCATCAAGTAAGCAAAGCCCAAAAGGGGGCAAAGGCAAGGACGGAGACCGGCAGGAGGGGTGTGTGTGTGTAGGTATGTATGCACGTGTGCATACACGGGCTCCCGCGTGCATATGCACGCATGTGTGCATGCACAAGTGTATGTGTGTGTGTTGAAGGTGGCCTGAGCGCAGGAGGTCAGATTATCATGCATCTGAAAAGACAGGAGCCAGGACTGATGTGGGCGTCAGGGAGTTGTTTCTTCATCTGGGGAGCGAGCTGATGAGAGGAACATGCAGGAAGCTCAGCCTGGCAGTGGGATCCATTCAGTGAGACACTCTGCACAGGAGAGGCTCCCCCAGGGCAGAGCGATGAGCCTGGGTCATGAGGTTCAAAGCTTCCTGACCTTTTGCAGACAGACATAGTCCTTGTTTCTGAGAGCTTAGCATCACCCAGACCAGCAGCTGCTATCCTGGCACCAGAGAAAAAGCCTTTCACTGTCAATTTCCTGGCTGTATCTCATTTTATTAACATATTCCCAAAGTGGGTTCAACTTGAAGACCTGTGCTCCTAGATGCCCTCACGGGGGGCCCTGTCCCATACTGTGTCGTATCTGGAGGGGGCCATATAATGTCCAAGGGTGCTGGGACTGGGATGGGGACCGCTGTTCTCTGAGGAGCTGGGTCAGAACGGATACAGGGTAGCAGGCTGTGGGCAGATCCTTCTGCGCCATCTCGGGGCTTGAACTGTCCAGCCCTGCCCGGTCCTGGACACTCCTCTCCTGTCCCTGCCTTTCGCCTCCACTCACAAACCTAGAAGCATCTGTCTAGATTCCTAAGCAAGACCAAATAATTAAACAGCCCGAGAGTTCGGCAGATTGGTCTCCCCTTTGGGAAAATACAAGAAAATCAACAATTAACACTAATTAATCTCCTATTAACACCAGATAATTAGGAGACGAGCAATTCCCTGTAATCTGACAGTGGCTCTGACAGCTAATGATTTCCCCTTTGGGGAGGGGGTGGGAGGAGGAGGCAGAGTAGCAGAAGGATTTCCCAGGACCCCACTGCCCACCCCCGCCCCCAGCCCCGATCTGCCCTGCCTTCGGGACCAAGGGGGCCCGCACAGCCAAGTGCCCCATTCCTCCCCTTCGATTGGGTGCCGCGTCCCAGGTGATGGAAAAGTTCAGGAGGGAGTCTTCCTCCATCTCCTGCAATCCACAGCTGCTCCACGCTTGGCTGAGGTGCCTGTCTCCCTGCAAGGAGTCATCGGTGATCGCTGCCAGCCTCAGCCAGCTCTCCAGGAGCCACTGGGCACTCAGGAAACCTGCAGCCAGGGTCTGGTCTGATGCTTGTTCCTGTGACTATAGGCAAGTCACTGGAACGCTCTGAACGCATGCTCTTTGCAAGAATTATAGCTTCTAGCGAACAGTGATAAAAAGCTGTAGGAGCCCCGTGGGTTAACAGTGGGAGTGAGCACAGCCCTGACCACCACCAGACACTGTTCTATGGTGAGGTAGCTACGGCATAAGTGACGCCCAAGAGTGCAGGCTCCGGAGCCTGGCACACCAGCCACGTGACCCTTGGCAAGTTGCTTAATCTCTCCGGGCCTCAGTTTCCTCGTGTGTAACACAGGGGCATAAGAGTGTGCCTACTTCATAGGGTTAGGATGAGAACTGAGCTCATACACGTAAAGCCCTTTCAACAGGGCCTAACCTAGAGTTAGCTCATGTTCTTCTAAGTTAAATAATGTGTGGGAAAGCTGCTGGGCATTATGCCAACGTAGGGAGAGAGAGGTGCTGGTTGAAGAGCCGCAGGAAGCTTCCTGGAGCAGAGGGGACTTGGGATGGGCAGGCCTTGGAGATGGAGGAGGAGGAAAGCATAGGTATTCCAGGCAGAGGACAGAGGCAGGAATCAACGTGGGCTAGGAGGCACAGAGAGACCCCTCCTGAACAGCAGATAGACGTGACCTGCCTGTTCTTTCCTAGACCTAAGGAGGAGTAAATCAGAGACCCGCTCTGGGCAGACGGGATGGGGCAGCCACAGTGAGCACTGCTGAGTTGCAGGGCAAGAAGCAGAGGGGGCTCCGGGTGTGTGAGATGCTTTCCCCAGGGGCCCTGCTCCCCTGGCCCAGCAGCAGCCAGCCCATGCAACACTCCCAGCCTGCCAGGCAGTGGGGCTCCTTGTAGGCAGGGGGTTTTAAAGCCCCCAGTGCTGCATGCAAGTGTATGTGGGGAGAGGGGTGCCATGTACAGGAATGCTGCCAGAAAGATAGTACTTAGCTGTTCTCAGATTTTCTAAAGGGTTTGTGGCCGCTGCTTATAGCTTGAGACACAGCCAGAGATGGAGTGGATGAAGCACGCATCTGCTTCTAGCCAGTACTTGCAGACACGAGTATGATGGCATCTGTGTGTCCAGGCCGGCTGAGGCTGTCTTTCTTTCCATGTGGACAGTCTCTGGCACGGGCTGCTCCCCCAGCATGGCTCAGCCTCCCCTGCAGTGGGTCACCTCCTCAGAGAGGCTTTTCTTGACCACCCATCTAGGACAGCACCCTCCCAACACACTCAGTCCCCAAGCCTACTTATTTTTCATTGTAACGGCTTATCTGTGGTTGTTTATGTGTTGATATTATTTTCTCCCACTGAAATAGACCTTCCCAGCTGAAAGGACCTGTCTGTCATCCTCACTGCTAGGTCCCCAGGGCTCAGCCTGTAGTGGCCCTTAGTAATTATTTACTAAATGAAGACGTGAAAGAATGAATCTGGCTCCAACTTGATCCCACCAGGTCTCTGCCGGCCTCTTCCCTTCTCTATGAATCCTCTCCTTGATGACCTCATTTTAACTTCATCGCAACTGCAAAGATCCTATTTCTAAAGAGGTCAGATTTATATGTCCTGGGGATTAGGACTTCAAGATATTTTGGGGGGGGACTCAATTCAGCCCACAGTAGCTGTTCTATCACTGTCTCGTCATCCTGTGCAGACCGGCTGGGGACCTGCAGCATGGGGGAGCCCCGGAAGCACTGATGCATCTCTGCCCCCCCAGGTGCTGGAGCGCTGGTGTGAGTCTCCGAGGACCATTGAGGTCCTGATGAACACCTACAGTATCATGCAGCTTCCCGAGGAGGCCGTGGCCCTGGTGCCTCCTGAAATACTGCAGGTCAGGTTCCAAGACCCTGAACACACGCTCACTCAGCCTGGCCCCAAAGGACTCCACTGCCTACAGGGAAGCTCTGTTGGGTCCCCTACCCTGCCCCAGAGAAACGACCCAGAGACCCGCTCATGTCCCAGAAGAAGAAGAAAACACACAGAGTGAACACCCAAAACACTACTTCTAGAGGCTCCTGTAGACACCTGCTGGCCACCAGCCTCCCCTCCCCCCACCCCCCTGCCCGCTTTGGGAGGAAAGGGTGCCATTTGTCCAAGGCTGCCTCACTGAGCCCCTCATTCTGTCCCCAGAAGCACCACCGTTTCTATTCCTCCCTTTTCGCCTTGGTGAGGCAGCCCAGATCGCTGCAGCATCTGAGCCGATGTGCGCTCCGTGCCCACCTGGCCGCCTGCCTGCCCCACGCCCTGCCCCGCCTTCCCCTGCCATCCCGCCTGCTCCGCTACCTGCAGCTGGATTTTGAGGACGTGCTCTACTAGGTGAGTGCCGGGTTCTGTGGGCATTTAGAGGGATGGGTAGGAGGCAAGAGAAGAGTTGGGGGCAGGGCCTTGGCCAGAACCAGCCAGCCTCCTGGACCTTGGGACCTCTCTGAATCCACGCCTCTCTTTCCAGATGTCTGTCCACTGCCTTTTGAGAGACCTGAAAGCAGATGCCCCAGGGGGCTCCAGTCTGCGGCTCTCCGCACCTCCAACCCAGGACTGAGCTGAACTGATTCGGGCCGAGGTGGCTCTGTCAGCAGGAGGTCCAGCTCCTCGGGCAGATGTGGATGCTGCCATCCCCACCCAGGAGAGAGAGACAGACCATTCAGCCAGGTGATGTCTAACAGAGAGACAACTGGCACTCATGGCAAGTGAGGCACTCCTCTTGGTGGTCTGAGGCACCCCTCCAGCCCATCCGATCCCTGTATGAGCATTAAAAATCTGCAGGCCTGTGTTTTTTGGTGCTGTCTCCCGCAGGCCTTCCTCTGAGCTGCTCACTCAGGGGACTCAGGATGGGCAGACTTAGGGGCCCCCTCACCCCGATCTGCCCTATGGCGCCAGCGGGGTCATCCTCCCCCTTTGGCATCTACCAGCTGTTGAGCCGCCCCAGGCAATGATGTGGCACAAGGGCCACCAGGTGAGTTAATGTCAGGACAACCAGCCAGAGGATAGGTGAGCAAACAGGCTTGGGTAGAGAAGAGCTACTGCAGGAATGAGGCAGTGCGGATGGTGGGACAAGATGGGAAAGGCAGCCTTGGGGTAGGGAGGTGAGGGGAAGAGCAAGAAGGCCAGTGAAAAGTGGGTGCAGGTGTCAGCCACCAGGGAGGGTAACCGTGGTTCAGGTGAGAGTGGAAGTTTCAGGTTTGGAAAAAACAACTCTAGCTACTGCCTGTCCTAGAGGTCAGGGAGCACCGGACGCACGCCTGGTTCCTGCCTCTCTTGGACTTAGCTTTGTGGCAGCCGGAGGAGGAGCTGAGCGTTACGTCCGGGGGCTCAGCCATTCGGTTGTGGAACTTAAATTTCTTCCCCTCTCTGGGCTCAAGTTGCTCACATCCGTAAGACAAGAAAGGAGAGAGTCCCTGAGGGTCTTTGCAGTGCCAGGTTTTTTAAGACCTTGCAGGTGGTCAGCACGCAGGAGTCGGTCTGCAGCCACGGTAGAAAGACGGAGCTGACCGGTGTCGCAGAGCAGCCAATCAAGTGCACTGTGGTCCGTGACGTCAAGGGTCGCCGGGCAGGTTTCCCAGGGCCCCAGAGTGCGCAAGCGCCGGTGTTCGCAACTTTCCCGCCAACTGCGGGAACGAGGCGGCGGGGGCGGGGCCTGGAGGACGCAGGCGGCGGGGGCGGGGCTGGCAGGGCGCGAAGCCCCAGAGGGCCTGGAGAGAGAAGCCTGGGAGAAGCGGGGCGGAGGTGAGTGGCCCCGGGGGTTCTCACCTGGTCTCACGGGCCCTGGGCTGACCCGCCCTGTGGGGCGTGACGGGAGGACGGGGCCGCCAGACGGAGGCCCGGCCCCTCGGCTCTGGCGACGCTGGTTAAGTCCTGAGCGCTCAGGCCCCAGGCACAGGCAGGGGATGCGAGACAGGGCTCGGGCAGCGATTTCCCCGGGGCTCGCGCCTGTGCCAGTTCCCCTCACCGTGTGGGGCCTCTCCCGGAGAGCCCGTCTCGTCCGGGGGCGGAGGCCTGGGAGAATGCCCCGTGGCCCATGTTGGGCAAGGGCTTACGTGCCCCTGTGGTCCAGGTGCCACGCACACAGGCCTGGCTCTCCAGTCCCCCCCGGAGTACCTTCTAGGGGGAGGGGACCCTAAGCAAATGGGCGGCAAGCTGCCGCTGTGCTAAGCCCTCTGAGGAATTCACACGGTGATTGCCAGCTTGCTCGGAGCTATTGGAGACTGGGTGACAGGGAAGCCGCCTCTTGGAGGAGGTGACATTTGACCTGAGGCCCAGGCCCGTGAGTGGAGTGGGGAAGAGCCCGGGAGTGCCCTGAACTGATGTAGGTTTGGAAAGATCTCTGAACGGCTTTGGGGAGAGGGGAGAGGCCAGGAAGAATCAAAGACCATTAGGGGGCTCCTGCTGAAGTCGAGTCCCCGGAGATGGGGAAGCAGGAGGCGAGACTTGGGACCCTGTTTGGAGACTGGAGGAGACATGCTGATGGACTGGATGTGGGGGCTGAGGGAAAGTGTAATCCAGGATGAGACTCAGTGTTTGGGCTGAACAACTGGGTGGATGGTGGTGCTAATTACTAAGGTGGGGAAGATGAGCAAGGGGCAGGTGGGGGAGGAATGAGGCGGTCACTCTGGGAGGTATGAAGTCGGAGCTGTCTATTACACATCTCAAAGAGGCTAGGCTACAAGGTCGTTTAGATCTAGAAATCTGGAATTCAGAGACAAGGTCAGGTCTGGGGATATAAATGGGATCGTTGGCATGTGAAAGATGTTGAAAGCTCTGTTCTAAGAGAATCCTGACTCTCGAGGGGATGACTTTCCTGAGAGAGTTGTTTTGCACTTTGATGGAAACTTTATTTAATCCCATCCACATCATTCATTTTGCTCCTCCTGAGTCCCAGGTTTTAGGCACTAGATCTACAGCTGTGAACGAGACCAGTTCCTGCCCTCAGTGAATTTCCCATCTAGTCTGAAAAACAAGGGTGTGAATCACTAGTTGAAATACAAGGGGCAATTAAGTGAATGCAAAAGACATGTGGGAGCAGGACCTGAGGGCGTGTAGGGGCAGGGACCTGGGCAGACTTCACAGGAGGTGGTTGCCTCTCCCAAAGTGGTAAGAAGGGAGAAGGATTTCTGACCACACCTGAGAGTACTGGATCTTCGGCAGGATGCCTTTTTAAGGAGGGTAGCAGTAAGGGAAGAAAGACGATGTAGAGTGGGCAATATCTGTGGCCCAGCCTCACCCGTTCTGCCATTAGCAGGCCGTGTTAGGAAGGTCCTTTCTGGGGTTAGACATCCACAGACACTCTTGCAAGCCAGGGAGCTTCCTCCCTAGCCTCCTGGCTGCGGGTCCCGCGAGCCCAGAACTTCTCCCCGGTAATTGCTTTCCGTAATGTGTTTGCTCCAAACCAATTTCACGCCTCCGTGAGGACTCCGCCCTGCACTGGAGGCGCGGACCTCCCCACCACCAACCTACCCACGTGTGACGCGTGCGCACACACAAACGGCACACATTTTACACAACAGATACACGGGGTTCAAGTAACTGGACACGAAAAATATACCCGAACCTACACTCATGCATACTAGACTTTAAGACTCCTGGGTGCAATCCCCGCCGCCCAACCAGTGCCTTCACAGTTAAATACCCCGCAGCGGCACCCAGCGCGCGCGCCCCAGGAAGGCTCACCTGGTCGGGTTCCTGTGCCCTCGCACGTCTCCTGGACTAACGCCAGGGGGCGCTGCAGGACCCCGCACTTCACTCTCGCTGACGCAGTTGCGCGCTGCTGCCACCAGAGGGTGGCCGCGGGCAGGGCCCGACGCTGCCCATCCTGAGTGGACTCTCTCCCGCCAATAAGTGGAGGTACAGATACTTCGGCTTTGACTTTAGAATACTTCGTTCTTGGTATCCTGGGTGCTGGTTTCCAAACCACGAAGGGGAGGCCAGATGGTGAGGTCCGATATAGGGACAAGCAGAGAGAGGGTAGGTTCAAGATAAAATTCCTCTGTATGAGCCTTTACCCAACAGGTGAAATCGTGAGAGTGGGACAAGTTAGAGTATGTGGACAATTAAAGAAGCAGAATACTGTTTTGGACAGTGAGAAAAGTGCTTGCCCACAATGGGCCTGTTCGGAGATTCAGGAAGAGAAGCACAGAGTTTCCTCTTGGTGAAGAGAGGAGCCCGCTCTATTCAGAGTTGATAGTGACCGCTTCTTCCCTGGTCCTGATGGTGAAGTAGAGGAGAGCCACCGATCCAGGGGACTTCTCTTCTCGACCACTGTGCTCTTCTCTGTCCATTTAGTGCAGGAAGGGAAGGTATTTTGAAAGGCATTTCTTCATGTTCGCTTGATCCTTGCACTGGCTTTTTGGCAGAGTAGATACTTATCACTTTCTCTCACAGATGGAGTTAAGTCAGAGGGGCCAAGGTTACGTGGCTCTGTGAGGGGTCAGAACAGAAACTGAACTCCACTCTTACTACAGCCAGTGCTTTTTTCCATTTACCATTTGGCCTTGGTTCTGCAGTCTACAGAAGGGCAGGGAGAGGGAATGGGTTGCTTCGGTTGCCACTGTGTACGTGGCTTTCATCCTGGGTTAGCCAGTGAATGTCAAGGACTCTGCAGAAGTCACACTTCATGACCGAGCATGGCCAGGGGGCAGATCGGGTACATAAATGGGTTACAAAATACAGTATCCAGCAAACATGCAGCACACCAGGGCAATACAAAGTCCCTGGGGCTTCACTTGCCTCATTTCAGGTTTGGGGGCCAGCTGGGATTTGTTGGCAACAAGCTTTAAGCCTGTACCCTCTGCCAGCTTGAGCAGAGGATTTCACTTTACTAAGTCTAGTTCTGGGCAGTAAGCTCTTGGCTTGAGCTGGATGACATACATCTTCAAGATCAGAGGGTCTTTAACCTTGAGTCCCTGACAGTGCATGATCTTGATGTTTCAGTATATACCCCGTTGAGTTTTTGGAATTTTGTACTAGATAATTTTATTACCTATAGAAAAAATGAATGCAGTTCCTTTAAAAACTGTCTCTTCCTTCATGCTTTGATTGGTGTTGTTACTGCTGTTGTTAATTTCAGTGATTGTAACCCAAAGTTCTCAATAATTTATCAAGTCAATAAGCCTCTATTGTGTATCCAACACTGTAAAGCCATCAAACCAAGTAATGACTTCTCATTTTTAAAGTACAGTACACTTTTGAAGTCTGGTCTTCCATATTGGTACCCTGAAGTGCTTGGTTAATTTAGCAAAGGGTTCTGAAGAAGATCTTTAGGAGGATGTACAGAGATTATCCTAGTACCCTTGTAGGGAGGCAGGGTTCCCAGACCTAAGGTGAGGCGCCTCTTCTTTCTCCATGGCGACATCTTCCCACCAGACTTGTCTCTAAGAGGTTTCATGAGTTTAATGTAGAGCCCAAATAGGTCAGGACTTCATGGAAACCACACTCTTCTCCTTTTCCCTGATGAATTGTCAATCAAGCATAACCAAAGAAAGGTCCCTTCTAGGGTCCCACCCTTTTCTGTCCCACCCTAGTGACAGTATCTTTCAGGGTGCTGTTTTGTCATACGTCTGACATTAGTGGTATTCACTAGGCCACCACGACACTCCTGATTTGAACAAATGTCACTGAGATCCAGAGTTCCCTCCTGCCTGCTCTGCCTTGGCTCAGAAACCCCGAGACTCTTGGGCATAGGTTTCCCTCCTCACCTGAGCCAAGTAACTTCCCCTATCTAGACTGCATCTTCCTAAACTGGCCCGGCTTTGCTATTACTTTTAATTGGCTTGGCTCTCCCTGGCCCACCTGAGTAACAGTTTCCCGGTGACCAGGTGACCTTCATTTTAGCTAGCTAGGCTTGCTCTGGATCCTGAAATTCGCGTCACTCTCCTGTCAACTTGCCTGTCTTAAGTCTTTTTTGCCGGTTGACCTATCGAGCAAAAGTGCCCATGACTTTTGCCTCTAGACTGACAACTATACCGCTGGGAATAGGGGGTGGGGGTGGTAAAAGACGCTACCATTTCTGTGTTTGAGAATGGGGGAGGTGAACAGAGTCATCTGCAATTAGCGAATAATTAGCGCTGCTGACCCTTGGGGCTCATCAGCGCTCCTGGGGCCAGCCCCCAGCAATCAGCTAGGGCAGGTCGAGAGTGTCAGGCCCAGGAATGAATAGGGCTCATCAGCGGTGCTGGAGCCGGGGAGCCAATCAGGGAAATTAATAGCAGAAGAGAGGGAGAGAGAGGGAGGGAGAGAGAGATAGACAAGAGATACAGGATATAGGTGAGAAATGAGGGGGAAAAACAGAATAAGACAACTGGGATAGGGAACGAGAAATAGGAATAATCAGATAGGAGTAGGAAGGACGGCAGGAAAGGGAAGAGTGGAGGAAGGAAAAGCATGTAAGGGATGGGAGAAAGACGGAGGGGAAAGGTGAGAGGAATGGTACGTACTTGGCAGAGTGTGGGCGCTCGAGGAAATTACCCACAGAGGCCACAGTGAGGAACCAAGGCAGTCCGCGTCGGAGGAGGGGACGAGGAAGAAGGGGAAGAGCCAATGTCAAGAGAAAAGAGACCCGGGGAGAGGGGAATGGAGTCGGGGGAAAAAACTACCAAGGGGAAAAGGCCCCCCACCCCCACCCCGTCCACGGGCCCTGAGCCGCAGCGCCCGGCGGCAGAGCGCGCCCCCTGCCGTTCCCGCCTCGCCGCCCGAGGGGGCGCCGAGGTCCCGTCCAGCCCGCGTGGCCACGGCTTGCTCTTGGGGCGTCGGGGGCGGGGAGGCACGCGGGGGACCGGCCCAGGGTCCGACGGAGGGCGGCGGCCCGGGGCCTCCCGGGGCGCTCTCCTTGCCTGGCGTCCCGCGCCACGTCCACGCCCGGGCGGGGGGGCTGAGTGGGGGCGGGTGGGGGGGAGGGAGGGGCACCGGCCCAGCAGCTGCCGCCGCCTTCTCGGCGGCCGCAAACTTTCACAAAGCGGCGTGTCCGGCCTCATCAATCTGCATTAATAATAGTTGGTTGGGCCGCGGGGAGCGGGCGGGGGTCCCGGGCCGGCCGGCCGGGCCGCTGGGAACGGGCTGTGCGGAGGGAGCGGAGCCGGGCGCGGCAGCGGCGGGCGGAGGGAGGAAGTGAAGCGTAATTTGAGGAAGATGGATGAGTCCGGAGGGCGACACCCCCAGCCCGCCCGCCCGCCCCCTCCCTCCTTATGAGAGAGAGGGAGCGCGGCGCCGGAGCCACACTGCGCCGAGCCCGCGCCCCGCCGCCACCTCGGCCGGGAGCCTGGGAGCGAGCCCTGCGTGTCCGCGCGGGGCGCCCGAGCCGCGGGGCGCACGGCGGCGCCCGGAGCTCCGGGCACGATGCAGAGAGCTGGAGGCGGGGGCGCCCCCGGGGGCAGCGGCGGGGGCAGCGGTGGGGGCCCGGGCACTGCCTTCTCCATCGACTCCCTGATCGGGCCGCCGCCGCCTCGCTCGGGCCACTTGCTCTACACCGGCTACCCCATGTTCGTGCCCTACCGGCCGCTAGTGTTGCCGCAGGCGCTGGCCCCTGCGCCGCTGCCGGCTGGCCTCCCGCCTCTCGCCCCACTAGCCTCCTTTGCCGGCCGCCTTACCAACACCTTCTGCGCGGGCCTGGGCCAGGCCGTGCCCTCGATGGTGGCGCTGACCACCGCGCTGCCCAGCTTCGCGGAGCCGCCCGACGCCTTCTACGGGCCCCAGGAGCTCGCCGCTGCCGCCGCCGCCGCCGCCGCCCGGAGCAACCCCGAGCCGGGCGGCCGCCGCCCGGAGGGCGGGCTGGAAGCCGACGAGCTGCTGCCCGCCCGGGACAAAGTGGCAGAGCCCCCACCGCCCCCGCCTCCGCACTTCTCAGCGACTTTCCCAAGTCTGCCGGGTAAGTGCTGGGCCGACCAGGGCGCCGGGCGGGAGGCTCGTTCACTTGGAAATCCCAGACAGCAGCCTGCTCAGAATCTCGGCACCTGCCCGGAGCCCTGGAATCCCAGACCCCCAGATGTCGGGGTCTGCAGAACCCCCTCCAGTTCTGTTCCAAACGCGGCACCTCTGGATTCCCAGAACCGCTGCCCCGCTCTGTCTTCCAGAGTGCCTGAAGCCTCACCCAAGACTTCCCAGTACTCCCTTCCAAATTAGTACCTTTCCTTCCCACGTTCTAGTCCTCAAGCCTCTGCTCCCACTTCTCTTTTTAAGAATCCCTTCATTTTTCTCCTCTGCGGAGAATAGAGAAGCTGCAACTGTGGGATTCCTGGGGACACTAGCAAGACCCTAGGGTGAGGGTACATTGGGGCAGCTGTCAATTCAGTAAGGGGAGGGCAGTTCTGGCTTCTGAGAAGATTGTATTGACCCCAAATAGGCTCTGTGAATGCAGGGGCAAAGGGAGGGTCCAAGCAATGGTGACCACGTTGGTGACCTGTCTTTGCCTTAGTAGTAGAGGTCACTTCTGAATTGGCACATTTAGAGATCAGCCCTGAAGAACTGAGTAGGGGGCCTAAGGGAACATTAGCTAGCAGGGGGCCTAGCACCTGCTGGACCAGGACTGACCCGGGGAGGTCAAGATGGAGGCTAAAGCTGGGCTGGTTGGGCGTGGCACAAAGCCTGGAGTCGAGAATATAGCTAAGATTCTGGAACCAGTGAGATTCAGCCAAGAGGTAATTCAGGAACCCTGGCTCCTCCATGGGAAGGTGCCCTCTCAATAGAGGCAGGGTGTATCAAACTGAACCCTGTGTAGAATCAAGCTACCCGGAGCCCTCCTGACCTCCCTAATCGATCCTCAAGCCCTAGATGCCAGAAAAGCTTTCCCCTATCCAGGGGCAGATCCAGGTGTGATGAGATCCAGAGCTTATACAATTTAGTGGACTCTGTTTAAGGAAAACAGGCTGCATGCAAGCGTGGGGTTCCTGAAGCTTAAACTTCTTTAGCGCCAGGATGAATCCACCTCTGCTTAACCATTTGTCACATCAGCTTAGCAGGTAAAAGTGACCCCAGGAGGCCTGGGGGCTGACTCTAGCAGAGGCAAGGAGGAGACCCAAGAGTCCTTTTGTCCTTTGCCAGGAGAAGACAGTTCCTGGTGATAGGTTTCTGGGCCCTTCCTTGAAATTATCCGAAGGTCTAACCACTCTTCCAGACCCCAAGTGCTGCTACAGAGCCTGTCTTCCTCTCCTTTTCCCCTTTAGCCCTGGGCATTTTGGCTTTGCGGGTTCAGCTGTTGTTTTGGACCTGGTTGGGCCAGGGGGATCCAGTGGCTGAAGTCTGAGCTGCATCTCCCAAGGAGGATCAAAAGGAAATGATAGAGCAGCAACTGGAAGGTGGGAGGAAATGTCCACAAGATAAAAGGGCCTGGAGGGGAGGGGGAAAGCAGCTGGCAGGATGATCGGAAGAAGAACGGATCAGTAGGATTTTTGCAATAATAGTCTTAAGGCAGAAAAGAGCAAGGCAGACCATCAGAGGGATGGCTTTGGGGGCAATAGGAGTGGGAGGAACAAGCAGACACCTGAGGAAGAGATGAGCTGAGGGGGAGCAGAAAGGGAGACATCCTAGGGAAGGAGAATCTGGGGAGGAAGATGCCTAAACCATGGGAGAACGTGTCCTACTCTTTCAGCTTCCCCGCAGTTGTTTATTTTGACATTTGTAGAATGAAGGCTCTTTTCTGAAGCAGATAGAATATTGGCTGTAAAACCAGGCGGGGGGGGGGGGGGAGGAGTAAGCAGAGGAAAAGAACAGAAGAGAAATATTGAGGAAAGAAAAATAGAGGAAAGGACCAACAAATGCACTCTATCCCCAGATTATCCAGAGAGAGAATATGAGCGAGAAGAGGTCTATTGGAAGATAGAGGTACAAGGGATTTCTAGCCTGAGCGAGATGAAGAGGGAACAGCATCTCTGGACCAGAAGTGTGTGTGTGTGAGAGAGTTCTGTTTTGAGAGGCTTGGGACAGAGCTAAATAAATGTCCTGGTAGGAAACAGGGAAGTGTCTACTCTAGGATTAAATTTTTAAAAAGGTTTTTCAGGGGCGCCTGGGTGGCTCAGTTGGTTAAGCGACTGCCTTCGGCTCAGGTCATGATCCTGGAGTCCCTGGATCGAGTCCCGCATCGGGCTCCCTGCTCGGCAGGGAGTCTGCTTCTCCCTCTGACCCTCCCCTCTCATGCTCTCTCTCTCTCTCTCTCATTCTCTCTCAAATAAATAAATAAAATCTTTAAAAAAAAAAGGTTTTTCAATACTGGGAGTGATAGTAAACTGGAATTTGTATAGAGAGAATGATGAAGGAAAGATCATCATCTAAGGAAAATATTGGAAGCAATCAAAAGACACTTGTTCTTGGAGTAAAGACAAGAATGATGGGAAGGAGACCTTATGGAGGAAGAATTCTGAGAGGTGGTAGAGTGAAGGTAATCACTCATATTGGGAAGAGGTACACATAAAGGGTTTATAGTGGGGCTTAAGGGGCGGGGCAGGAAGGAGAGATTTCAGAAGAAACCTTCAAAGAGGATAGTGACTGGAAGATCTTTATCTGTGACCCCCACTTATCACTCTCAGTACAGACCCTCCTGACTCTTCCTCACTACACCATTCACGTCCACCTGCCCAGTCTTCATTTTTTTTCCTGAAGTAGTTGAGAAAAGAAAAGGAAATTCCAGAAACGTTGGACATAAAATTGGTTTGGGGAGTGATGACACATGGCCCATGCTGAAAATGGTGGGAAAACGAATACTCTATTTTGGGAATTGTATTAGAGTATTTAGCATGAAATGAGAGTTTTTGCTTGAATAATGGGATTGAAACCTCAACATTAGAAGAGTTTGGAGAAAGAATGCTATCTTTGAAATGACAGAGGAGGAATTGCTGTTCTAGTGTGAATGACTGACATTGGTCTGAAATTATTAATTTACATTTGTTTAGTGTTTTACAGTTAGTAGTCCTATTAAATGAAATTATAGTGAAGATAGGCCAATCTGGAGAATGGTGAATGAAGTTCTTTTTGTTGGGAATTACTATTTTTTTCTGAAATTTTGCTTCAAGTTAAGAGAGACACCACCTTACTACGACTGATGATAAAGAAAACAACTTTATTATGATTCAGTTGCAGGGGCAGAAGCTATATTAACAGGCAAAAAGAAATACCATGTACAGAAATAATGGGTAGAAAAGATACGGAGAATGGTAGATTGAAAATAATTCTGGGTTTAGAAAGTGGGGAACAGTGAGGATAATTGGGGAAGGTGTCTTAGTAGAAGTGATAAAAGAGGAGAGAATTTTGAATTCATAGAGAAGATTTAAAAGTATGAATCAATAGAAGAGCCCAGAGTGGCTCTTCTTTTTAGGTGCTCTTACAAGCACCACTTGTAATTAAAACATTATTAGCCATCTTAAAAAGGTAGAAATAAACAGGTGAAATTAATTTTAATACATTTTATTTAACCCAATATGTCCAACACTATTTTATCATTACTCAATATAAAAAAATTTAATGAGATATTTTATATCCTTCTTCCATATTATCTTTGAAATCCAGTGTATATTTTATACTTTCAGCACATCTCAGTTCAGTTTAGCCATGTTTCAAATGGTCAGTAGCCTCATGCGGGCAGTGGTGTTGTATTCATTAACATAAGAGATCCAGAGAGTCATGTGAAAGTGATGGGGAAAAGGAGCTTTGAATTGGGGTGATGGCAAAGTCTTCGATGTATTAGGAATAATGGAGAAAAGACAGTAGTAAACTCTAAATGACAGAAGGAAAAGAGAATTCTGCCTTGAGTGAGTTGGGCAGTGATGGTCCTGTTGTATGTGAAGGTGCATGTGAGCTCTGCCTGCGAGTAATCACAGCTAACCTGGAGATGTGCAGATACACATTTCAGCAACGATGGGTAAAGGTGATCCTGGGTGCTGGGGGAAATGATGGAAAGAGCTGTCCATTTGGGGAAATGCAGAAGAAAACTTTAAATTGGGGGTGCTTAGAGCAATGATTCAGGGAGAAAGGAGTTGGATTGCTTGAAAACGAAGACTTAAGAAGTGAAGGATGGTAGATAATCCATACATAATTGTTGGATGGATGATAAAAATACAGGGAGAGATTGACATAAAAGATAATGCCAGTAGTGAGCATGGTGAAAGAATATTTGAAAAGAAAACATTGAGATGATACAGGAAAGAGAATGTGATGGAACGAACCCAGGAGATGGCAGTATAGTGAACATTATTTTAAACTAAAAAAATTTGCTAACTTTTAAAAATGATTTTATTTTAGATAGAGAGCGAGCAGGGGGAGGGGCAGAGGGAGGGGGAGAGAATCTCAAGCAGACCCCCACTGAGCACAGAGCCCGACATGGGGCTCAATCCCAGGACCCTGAGATCATGATCTGAGCCGAAACCAAGAGTCGGACACTTAACTGAGTCACACAGGCGCCCCCAAATTTGCTAATTTCTGAACAGAGATTGGCAGTAATGATGGAAATCATGCAAGGAAACTAGGGAAACTTCCTAGGAGCATGATGTTTGAGGGCTGATTGCTGTAAGCTAAGCACCTGATTATAACAGGAGAACATTTTAGATGACCATCGATTAATTTTTGAATAGGTACGCATTATGACTGTCCAGATGTATTTACTGATGAGAGAAAAACAGGAAATAATAATGTGACACAGAATCAGAGACTTCTGTTGTTAGAAAAAGGAGGGACATTTTTCTTGGAAATGATGGAGACCCATGCTTTCCTAGAAATTTTGAGGAAGAGCACACGGTGAGAGTGTTTGCTCCCCTGGCATTTATAGAAAGGCACGTGTTGCATTAACTTAATGGGATTGAAGGAACATGTATCGAGGAGTCGTGACATTTGTGCTCAGGGGTCAGCCCTGTCACTTAGCTGCACAACCTTGGCAAATTGCTT